GAATTACAGGGAACGAATGCAGGAATTGGAGAGGAAGGAGATAGAAATGGAACTGGAGGATCGGCGTAGAATGGAAATAAAGAAGAATCTGATCAACGACGCGGCGAAGAAACAGGACGAACCGGTAGACGATAGCAAATTAGTCGAGGCGATGTTCGACTTTCTGCCGGATTCCAGCAGCGAAGCTCCAACCCCCGCTAGGGAAACTTCCGTGTTCAACGACCTACCCGCGCCTAAAGCGGATCAACAGGAGATCATCAGTCCCGTTCAAACGGCATCGGAAGACGAGGAGGATTTATCGGAGTTTAAATTCCAGAAATTCGCAGCAACCTATTTCCAAGGGAACATCACGCATCAGTATTCGAGAAAGCCTTTGAAACACCCCCTGCTGCCATTGCACACGCAAGGTGATCAGCTGGCCGCGCAAGCTTTATGGATCACCATCCTTCGTTTCACGGGCGATTTACCGGAGCCGAGATTCCACACGATGGACAGGGACACGACGTCGGTCATGTCGAAGGTAACGGCCACTCTCGGTCGTAATTTCATACGAAGCAAAGAGTTTCAGGAGGCGCAGATGATGGGGATGGATCCGGAAACCTTCCTCAGACAGAAGCCTCGATCGATTAGGCACAAGCTGGTCTCGTTGACGTTGAAACGAAAGAACAAATTAGGAGAGGACGTCAGACGAAAGTTGCAGGAGGACGAATACACGGCGGACAGCTATCAGTCTTGGCTCGAAGCGAGACCCACGTCTAATCTCGAGAAGTTGCACTTCATCATCGGCCACGGGATACTGCGGGCGGAACTGAGGGACGAGATATACTGTCAGATATGCAAGCAACTGACCAACAATCCCTCCAAGTCGTCGCACGCACGCGGCTGGATCCTCCTGTCGCTCTGTGTCGGATGTTTCGCTCCTTCGGAAAAGTTTGTCAATTATTTGCGCGCTTTCATCAGGGAGGGACCGCCGGGTTACGCGCCGTATTGCGAGGACAGGTTGAAGAGGACGTTTAACAACGGCACACGGAATCAGCCGCCCAGTTGGCTCGAGTTGCAAGCCACCAAGTCGAAGAAACCCATCATGCTACCGATTACTTTCATGGACGGAAATACTAAAACGCTGCTCGCCGATTCCGCAACCACCGCCAGAGAACTGTGCAATCAGCTGTCCGACAAAATATCTCTTCGAGATCAATTCGGCTTCTCCCTTTACATCGCGTTGTTCGATAAGGTCTCCTCGCTGGGCAGCGGCGGTGATCACGTGATGGACGCGATCTCTCAATGCGAGCAATACGCGAAGGAGCAGGGTGCTCAGGAACGAAATGCACCGTGGAGATTGTTCTTCCGGAAAGAGATATTCGCCCCGTGGCACGAGCCGACCGAAGACCAGGTCGCCACTAATTTAATCTATCAGCAGGTGGTCAGAGGTGTGAAATTCGGTGAATATCGTTGCGACAAAGAGGAAGATCTGGCGATGATTGCCGCGCAACAGTATTACATCGAATATCACACCGACATGAACGTCGAGAGGCTGTACACCCTTTTGCCCAATTATATCCCGGACTATTGCCTAACAGGCATCGACAAGGCGATCGACAGATGGGGGCACCTCGTTTTGCAGGCTTACAAAAAGGTGACCGAATAGCCATACTTGCCATACTTATCGTTCACTTTCCAAACGTGTTATTTAACGTGTTCTATTTTTCCAGAGTTACTACTTGAAAGAAAAAGTGCCCGCGTTACGAGTGAAGGAGGACATCGTTGGCTACGCAAAATTCAAGTGGCCCTTGCTGTTTTCTCGCTTCTACGAAGCTTACAGAAATTCAGGGCCCAATCTGCCGAAAAACGACGTTATAATAGCGGTGAATTGGACCGGTGTGTACGTCGTTGACGATCAGGAACAGGTGCTTCTGGAATTGTCCTTTCCCGAAATCACTACCGTATCTAGTCAAAAGTAAGTAGCGTTTTTCTTAATCGAACGGTAAGAGGCACTTTCTCTCTTTTTATCTACACCTTTCTAGTTCTCCACCACCTCCTTTTCTTCACTGGTTTGAACGGTTTCTTCGTATCGTTGTTTCCAGAACGAACAAAATGTTCACGCAGACGTTCAACTTGTCGACGGTGCGAGGAGAAGAGTTCACGTTTCAGAGCCCAAATGCCGAGGACATCCGCGATTTGGTGGTCTACTTTTTGGAGGGTCTAAAGAAACGTAGCAAATACGTGATCGCTTTGCAAGATTACAAAGCGCCCGGCGAAGGTTCCTCGTTCCTCAGCTTCCTGAAAGGGGACCTCATTACATTGGAGGACGAGAGCACCGGTGAGACTGTCCTTAACTCCGGATGGTGCGTCGGTACCTGCGAAAGAACCGGCGAAAAGGGCGATTTTCCAGCGGAGACTGTTTACGTGTTGCCCTCCTTAACGAAACCACCAAACGATATATTGGTAATACAATCATCACGATTTCGTTCATTACCAATCGAGATCGAACGAATGAACGGATCAATTTTGCTTTCAGTCTTTGTTCAGCATCGAAGGAACGGAGAACGGCCGCAAACTGTACCCTCAACAAGTGAACGGAGTAGAATCTCGCGACAAGCCTCATACTCTCTTAGAATACGCCATCGACCATTTCCGGTACATCCTCTGCTCGACGAATCTTTGCCAAGGGCAACCAAATAACGAAAGATCATTTTTCTCCCGTAGAACACCGCCGAAGAGAACAATGTCGAAAGCGTTGACTCTGACCACGGCGAGACGAGGGCACACCGACGAATTGTGGCATCATTCCAGGGATCCGATAAAACAACCACTTTTAAAAAAGCTGATATCCAAAGAGGAATTAGCCGAAGAAGCGTGTTTCGCTTTTAATGCCATCTTAAAGTACATGGGAGACCTGCCGACGAAGAGACCGCGTATCGGTAACGAATATACCGATCTTATTTTCGATGGTCCATTGAAGAACGAAATTCTTCGTGACGAAATTTATTGTCAGATCATGAAACAGCTAACCGACAATCGAAACCGGCTTAGCGAAGAACGCGGATGGGAATTGATGTGGCTTGCCACCGGTCTCTTCACTTGTAGCCAAAGTCTTCTAAAGGTATATCAATATTTTTACGTTCACGATATTTATGGATACATGAATCGTATCGTTATCAGGAATTGACGTTGTTTTTGCGAACGAGACGACATCCCATATCGCAGGATTCTTTACAAAGGCTACAGAAAACTTTGCGCAACGGTCAACGGAAGTATCCACCGCACCAAGTGGAAGTAGAGGCTATCCAGCACAAAACAACTCAAATATTCCACAAAGTGTATTTCCCCGATGACACTGATGAAGTGTGTAGTATTTTTTTTTTTTTTTTCATTCTGTTCGTTGAAAGAACAATTATTCAATGATTTTCATTGTATACAGGCATTCGAAGTGGATTCATCGACAAGAGCGAAAGACTTTTGTCAAAACATCGCGCAAAGACTCAACCTACGGTCCGCGGAAGGGTTTAGTTTATTCGTGAAAATTGCCGATAAAGTAATCTCGGTTCCGGAAGGCGATTTCTTCTTCGATTTCGTACGACATTTGACGGATTGGATCAGGAAAGCTCGGCCATCTCGCGACGGTACGTTTTTAATTATTTCTCGTTGACGAACCCTTGTTAATCAATCGTGTAATATCGTCGGTCTACATACAGGCGTATCACCTCAATTCACGTATCAAGTGTTCTTCATGAAGAAACTGTGGACCAACACCGTGCCTGGGAAGGATAGAAATGCTGATCTTATTTTCCACTTCCATCAAGAGCTTCCTAAATTATTGAGAGGTACAGACAGTTTCCCCCATTTCGCTGCCGTCTTAATCCATTGTTTGTTCAATTTCACCTATAGGATATCATAAATGTACGAAGGAAGAAGCTTCGAGATTAGCGGCGTTAGTGTACAGAGTTCGTTTCGGTGAAAACAAACAAGAACTTCAAGCGATTCCGTAAGTGGGACACGTCGAAATACTTTCGTTCGTGAAACAGGTAATAAAACATTGATTTAACATGAACGATTCCAGGCAAATGTTAAGGGAACTTATACCAGGCGATTTGGTAAAGGTACAAAGTGCCAACGATTGGAAGAGATCGATAATAGCAGCCTACAATCAAGATGCTGGTGAGCCATTATTTGAATTGTATTTAAACGCGAAGAGAAAATATAATATCAAGCGGCAAATCAAGAAATTAAATTCGTAGGAATGAGCCCCGAGGACGCAAAGATAACGTTTTTGAAAATCGTTTATCGATGGCCAACATTCGGTTCAGCGTTTTTCGAAGTCAAACAGAGTACGGAGCCAAATTATCCAGAATTATTGTTGATCGCGATAAACAAACACGGTGTAAGTCTGATACACCCGCAAACGAAGGTAAGTAATCAGATTTTTTAGTTATATTTAACCATGAGGTGAAACTAGAAAAGTGTTCACACGATTGCCTTTGTTTTTTTTCTTTTTTTTCAGGATATACTAATAACGCATCCTTTCACCAGAATCTCAAACTGGTCGTCAGGAAACACTTACTTCCATATGACGATCGGAAATTTAGTGCGTGGTTCGAAATTATTGTGCGAAACATCGCTGGGTTACAAAATGGATGACCTCTTAACTTCTTACATCTCTTTAATGCTCACGAATATGAACAAACAACGTACAATACGAATCAAGTAAACACGTACAAGGTAGTAGAACAAAATCATTAAATGATAATTTGGCAATTTTACGTATTACGTTTAAAACGTAATTCGTTGAAAATTCACTTGAATATCGATCATTTATTTTTTTTTTTTTTTCTATCGATAAATTTCTACGCGATGTGATAAGAAATGTTTTATACAGAAATATATTACTCATTCCGAATAGGACACACGAGGAAAGTCGCAAAATTCGCGTGTATACAAGTAATTAGCTGAAAGAGAAAAAAGAAATTGTATATGATTTATTTACAAATAAGATTTTCATGTAGTTTTGTAAAGTATTATTTTAATATGTAGGAGATACAATTAAAGAAGTTCACCTTCAAATATATTCTATCGGACAAAGACGAAGTTACGTGCAATTAAGGCTACGTGTGTGGTCAAAATAATATTCAATATCGATGAAAAATTCTTCGGAAAATTAATTAGATTACATATATATTTATATACATATATGTACGAAAACTTATGCTCAAAAATAATGTTCCGACGTAACGAATAGCAGTGATTATTCATCGATTATCCGTCCACTGATACATGTAAGGATGTAATTATTAATAATCCGCAGTTTATTACTGTGAATAAAGATAATCGTATTCTTCAGGTACTCGGTGCAAATTTTAATCGTGGGTAAATTCCCATGGTATACATAGACCGACATTCCTCGTTTACAATGGATCTCTTTGGGAAGACAATTCCCAAAGAGATCCTATCTCGTTTCCTGTTGCAGATAATTATATTCGATGGTATCTGGCAAAAAAAAAAGAAAAATCTGTACCGATTCGACGGTAGTCGAGAAGTCAAGAAACGAATCGCTTTTGACCGATTAATTTTCTACCTTTTCAGTTAACGAAAATTGAAAACGTACGTACAAGATTTCGGGATCTGGAAGTAACGTGTGCAGGTCGTAAAGCAAAAGGCTTTATATTATAGAAATCTTTCAAATTTATTGTAAAACATAGAGAGACATAAAAACGTATATACGTTGGTTCATCTTTGTGTCTCACCCATCCGAAATGCATCGATACCTTTATTGTACCTTTCGAAGCGCATGGTCGTGATTGCAAACGGTACCGCGAATTTCGAGAAACCACCATGCCGACAGGTAGAGCGGGATTAATAAAAAGCGTGCGTAACGTGATATTTGTCTAGGGTTAAAAAAAAGCTAAAAATCCGAGATGTGTCATCGGTAAAAATAAAATCTATCGTATAGAAATAAATAATGATCGGTAAAAAAAAAAAAAAAAGAAAAGAAAGAAAGAAGACCGTGATACACCCGAATAAGGCGATAAATTAATCGAGATGACGCAGGTAATTTTCGATAGGACCTTAAGACGCGACTCGTTTCTTCCCCCCGGTTAAAAACTAGAATTATTCCTATGTCATGCAGATAATTTTGCAAAACTAGTGCAAACGTCTCTCTCTGAGATTACATGTAACTTTGCGTGTTATTACGCAAACGCGATTATCATATGAAATTTACATCAACGCGTGCACGAGTTGCGGTGCACCTCGAAAATTAGAGCCCGAGTAGTTCGGTACTGAAACAAAAATATGGATTCTGATTCTCCCTAGTGTTTCGAATCGGTATCGGGATACGTTTCACGACAAACGAAACGTATACTTAATCGCAAAACTCTCTCCCTCTCTCTCTCGATCATAGAGCTTTATAAACGTGTAAAATGTAAATGAAATAGTGTTTCCTCGATAACACAATCACTTTCAGCGATCGATATGCAATTGCCACGGACTAAATAGCCGTAAATTCAGATGGTTCGCGGAACACGCTGGAATAGAACTATCCACCCCCGTTCCGTCAGATAATTACCTATTCACATTCGTACAAAGCTCTTAATTCTAAGATCGCTATAAATTCTAATCCCTGTGTAACGCTCTGTATCAACGCTTAAAGCTAGGAACCTACGTAGTTATAAACATAGGGAAATGATACACGGCACATTGTACATTACATATCCGCGGGGCGGGCTATGTTTCGCGAGAGGGTTTGCGACGTAACGAAAATCGCTACGTCTTCGTATTGTCTAACGTTGTTGCCGCGCTCTCGGCTCGAAGTAACGCGTTCTTCGTCGCGTAGGTCGTTGAGCTGGTATCGTCGCCGATCGACTCGTTATCCACGGTAATCGAAATATCGTTCGGTGGATGAATAACGTTCGAAACAGCGTTCGTCTCACTAGGTCGTAAACTTTGGTGATGCACACTGTAATTGTCTAGGAAATATCAGAGACCCGACTGGGGTGGTTGATGCGTGTTCCAAGGTACGTCCGCGATCGCTGGCGGCATGCTCGCTTGATTGTGCATGGTTCGCGGCGCTCTCATGATCTCGTCCGCGGGCGGACAGTGTGGTCGTGGGCCAGGTTCAGGGGTGTAGGTAAACGTCAAGCCGGTCGCGTAAATGATACCGTCGTTACGTACCAACGAGACGGGTACCTGAGTCGGTTGCCGTACCCACAACCATTCGCCTCTGAATTGAGATATGTCGGGTACCACGCAAAGCATGCTTTCTTGGCATCTGTACATTGTCTCTGCCTCGACGTCACCGAACCACACTTGTAGATTCGGGGTAAAGTTGTCCCCGGTCAATTCGAGCATAGCCACGTCGCCGCCGCCGTTCAGGTGCAAACTGTGAACAAGCGGCACCGGTGTGACCGGCGATCTTACCGGTCCCATACCCTCGAAAAATTGGTATTCCGCCTTATCGGTACTGATTATCGTCCAGCAAGCACCGTCATTTATCATCTCTTTGTTCGCCTCTTTTGGACACGGTGTAGCTTGGAACTGTATTATACGTTCCTGGGATAAACAAAGGTACATGTGATCCGTGTCCTTCATGTAAAATGCGCATTTGTGCAACTGCGATACAGGATCGTCCGCCTCTAAACTGGCCATCTGTTTGTCCACTTTACGAATTACCAAACGCGGAAGCGCCATTCCAGTCACGGAACATACCAGTTTCACCGTGCTCCCGTAGTGTACGTAACCGTCTCGCACTTGAAACTCTTCCGATTCGCTCTCGTTGTCGTCCAACAGATGTATCGTGAACGCGCCCCACTGCGTGGAACTCGCATGAAAATTACCGTTTTCCACGTGGAGGTAACGCGTGCTCACTGTTTGGGATCGTAACCGATTGAACAGTGCCACCTTCGTTCCGCTCGCTATACACAAATCGGCGTTCTTCAGCGATTGCTTCTTTTTCGAAGGTTTCGAGATCACTTTGATTCTTTTACTATGAAACACGCCGATATCGTGACCGCTACCGTAGAACATTTTCACCGATAGCATAAAGTGTTTCCTTTTGTCCGAATCCGAAATGTACAATGTCTTTGCTGCGCAATACTGTTTGCCATTGTTGAGATCTAACTGTTGCATATCTTGGTCCGAGTTACCGATTCCGATAAACGCGCAAAGTTGAGCGGACTGTTCGCTCTCACCCTCGCGTAGCATCTGTTCTTGACGCATTCTCCAACCATCCCCGAACAAGTAGATACAAGGTGGAGGGCAAAAGAATCGTTTCTCGTTACCGTACGATTTTTGTGCAACCTTAGCATGAAGAATTACGATAACCATGTCGCTTCTGTCGCGCAAATAACGCTCCATTGCTTCGCGTGTCAACCTTTGATCTTGATGATCCGGTCTGTAGACACCGGATCCATACCGAGGGTAAACCGACATCACTGAGGTCGGCGACGGAGGAGATTGCATTCCATGTGCCATTGTAGGCAAACCAAACTGGTGTGGCATATTTAACCTCCGGTTCTATTCTCTCTTATGGTATAACAAAGATGCTAGGTTGGCCGCATGCTATCCTTGTCATCTATGCATGTCATAATTGCTTGTGCCAATTTACCTGAAATAAATTTCAATGTGAAACTTATAATACACGGTACTAAATAATTGCATTAATACTTATTAATAGAATGTACTTTGGAGAAGTAAAAATAAAAAATACGATATAACATCAGGATGGTATAATAGAAAACAAAGCTGCATTATTAGCTATGTAGATTGAAACAGGCACAGAAACATACAACACTGCTTGTCGAAGACTTTAGCGTGAGAAAGATTTCTGTTTTTCACGATCTAAGATGTAATTAACGTAAGGCATCTTTCTTTAAACAAGTTACCAAGAATTGCTAGTCTTAGCACAGGAAAGAGGAAACACACATATATGCTGTGGGAACCAAGCTGAGCTCATTTTTCCTGCATGAATTAAATCACCCTTGTTCATTGTGTCTGTGCAATTGTATCTATGTACTTGCAAGTATAAAGGTATTCTTTGATTAATTTTATGCATTATTATATATATTTTTTTTGCAATGATCTTGATTCTTTAATATTTCATATACCATTTCCAGCAATTAAAATACATCATTCTATGTTTATACAACATAGTTACATATAAATTAGAACAATAATCCAGGAAGAGAAAGAAACTTATACTTCCTGATAAAGTTTACATTGCCAATTGGCTGACACAAGTTATATGTACTTGTAACTCAATTTAATGTAGCATGAATAGTAACAGAAACATATATCTCCATATGAAATCAACAAACTAGACTTCATGTTTTACACTGCTGTTAAACTTAAATTAACATTAGTACATAAATAAGACTGTTTTAAGTTTTACAATGGTTACATGATCAAAACTATACATTCCTCTTCTATTTTATAACAATTGGAATATTATAATAAAACACAAACTATTTTTTTTTTTACCAAAAGAGATCTACTAAAAACAATGAGTTCACTTTATATAAAAACTTTAATAACAGAAATTGAATATGATATTTTTCTTTTATATCCTTTCCGATATAAAAAGTGGTTCATAAACGTTTTATAAATAAAAGGTTTATGCAATCCTTTGGATGAAAATCGTTTATTTACCTTTTTTAATACAGGGAAAGTTAGAGCGAAGAAAAACAGGTTACGTTTTCGGTGCTCACCTCATTTTTTATAATAGCTCGAATTAAAACATAAATCCCAATGCATTTTCTAAATTGTCGATTATTCACAAATATTGCACCGTTCGTCGATCGTTCACCATTCGTAAATCCTTCTGCGTCCTCGTCGACTATTCTCCCTAATCCATTCAAAAAACACCTGTTCACTTTCCGAATTTTCCGAACAGTCTTACCAACCCTTAGCCATTATTTGACCGCGCGCGCTACTTTAAATCTAACATCGAACCAGAGTATTCGGAAACACTGTTTAGAATTAACTGTAAGCGGAATCGTAAAATCTATGCTGTTGTTTCTTTATTTCCAAAACTTTTGTAATTTCTTCACTGCCAATCCTAACAACAAATCACGAACACTTGTTTTAAAAAACTGACCGAAAAATACCCAACCTCCTTCGGCGGTATTCGCCGAGTAACTAAGTTCGAAACGACAACGTAGAGTTATTACTACCGCGTAAGTGGCTGTAACAGGAGCGTACCTATGGACTATAGTAAGGTCCTTGAAAACCAAATGGTTCTCACACTTTGCTTATATACATTTAACTATTCTTTCTCTTGATAAATGATAAATATAAACCGGTTATACATTTAAATATTCAAAATACTATGAAAGTGTTTAAAAACGAAGAATAAATGTTCACTTGTTACGAGTCACTACAAAATTTTTATAAAATTACAATTTACATTACCGAACGCCCGTAAAAATTATATTAATTTTAATTTCTCTAGAAGATTTGAATACCAATCGTTAGTTGGTCAGAAATGTTAATCAATGTCTAAGTGCTTTAGATAGCTACGTTACTGAGCTGCAGATTCTATTGTTTTACTGTTGTACAATGGCCCGGTCGACCCAAGCGCCTCCAGTTTCCCCTCTTGTTCCCCACCTGATGTGAGCTATTCCCCTCTGCCCCGTAGGTGCCCTGGAATTGCTGCCGCAAAAGGATGTTGGGGTTACCCTGGGGGGCGTGGGAAAAACCTGCTGTGGGAAAGAGTGGGTGGCCTCTACCTCACTTCACTTCTCTGATGATGACGATACGATATATGTATACATCGTGCTTATGAACGTGTGCATACATGCATACAGAATATATGTGAACAGAGAAATGTATTTTATACGCATTACGTTCCGTATTTGTGTACGAGCACATGAACGTCCACAGCTTGATACTGCGTAATATAGGACGAATATGTGGTTAGGCAAATTAACGTTCTATCAGCTTAGTTTTTACTCTATTGCAAATATAATTTTATTTAAATAAACCGATGGACAGTACTTTTAGAAATATATATTATGTACACCGTGAATTTTTTGAAAACAATTATATACATTCATATTCCGTAATTTATTAAACATCTATTGATAATTTTATTATGTTTTTATGACGTTTATACGAACAAGTTTTATTGTAATTTAATATTATTCGCGCAGATAATTAACAAATCGGTGCGGTTACGTATGATATAGGGACAATAATAAAAAAATAATCAACCCTTTCAATATATAAATAAATGTGTCATTTTATAGGACTGATTTGAATAAACTTTAATAAAAGCAAAATATCGTCAATAACGTTTACAAAATCTGATGAAATAAATTACAAACTTACTTTTATCTTTTTATTTTACAATGTTCAGTTTTTTCAAATAGTAGATGGAAATGTCAAAAGCGCGCATCCAAGTGTATTGTTTTTGTAATCAGCTGACCGGTGTGGTGCGATGTCTGGTTGGGTGAAAACGTATACAGTGAGGTACATATTTAATAATCTATAAAAGTCAAACGATTTAACGACGTGTAATATTAATATGCGCAACATAAGTACAAATAACGTTACTTTTATATAAATGTTAATGTATTGAAATTTCTTTTTCCCTTCTGTTATACTAATTGAGTATTTAGGTTATAAATGATTACAAACATATCTCGTTGTTAATATACAGTTATTTTAAGTTAAGGACAGAGTATGCACTGTATTACATTATATTAGCTAGTGTGATACATGCTTATTTTGCTAATTATATCATTTCTTTGCAGATTTTCCACCTGGCACAATGGGTGTTTACGGTCTATGGCGTTTACTTGATAAAACAGGAAAGCAGGTTCCTTTGGAGACACTTGAAGGAAAAGTATTAGCTATTGGTATATTTAAATATTTATATATTTATTCAAGTTGATAAACTTACATACGGTTGCATGTATTTAACTTACATTTATCTGAATAACATGCTTCTGTATATTTGTAGATATATCAATATGGATACATCAAGTATTACAGGGATATCAGGACCGTTTTGGTAATCCTAAACCTAATGCACATCTAATTGGTTTATTCTATAGAATATGCAAACTCTTGTATTACAGAATCAAACCAGTTTTTGTATTTGATGGAGGTGTGCCAATGCTCAAAAAGGACACAATTGTAAGTATATCTTTAATTTGATGCAATTAATAAATTTTATTGAATTTAACTTTCTAAAACATAGTAGGTATATACATTGTGCATGCATGTATTAATGAAACTGTACTTTTATCTTGATTATAATATTGTCTGTATGTAATTAGTTTGCTGTGGGAACCGGGTAGTGAGAAAATAGTCTCTTATTCTTTTGTGTTCACAGGCTTTACGCAGGAAGCAGAAATCTATGGCCAAGAATAAAGCCCAACAGATGAGGACAGAATTAATAAATAATTTGATAAAGCATTCTGCTGTGAAAACCGTTCTCAATCCAGGGAGTGAAGATAGTACAAGTGGCCCTTCTGAAATAGTTATAAACTTGCAAAATAAGCAACCCGAGGATGATATCTTCAAATTACCAGACGAACCAAGCACGAGTAAAACGCAATTAAGTCTTAGCGATGATTCCGATTCCGATTCGTCTGTTGAGCTGAGTCCGCGTAAGCAAACAAAATGGATCGGAAACATTCATAACGTGGATGTGAGCAGTGCCGAATTCAAGGCTTTACCAGCCGATATGCGTTATGAAATCCTGACCGATCTCAAGGAAACTAGGAAGCAAAATTCATGGGGTCGTTTGCACGAAATGCCCGGGGTACTTGTACACTTTCAATTTTAAATAAACGTTTACTTTGTTCTTTTCTTAAAACATCTTTCCATTCAGGAATCACACGAATTTTCTGGTTATCAAATGAAACGTTTGTTGAAACGTCGATTAGTCCAACAAAGTTTAGAATCTGCAGAAAAGGAAATGGGTGGGAAAACACTTACATTGGACGAATTAGATAAATTATTAAAAGAACAGGGTATAAATACTACTGGTCAGAACTGTACTTATCGTGTTGCTTCGGACAGTACAACTAGACTAATTTATATCAGTGGTATGTTATAGATGTTATTAGTTTTCATATTTCAATTGATTGTTTTTTATCTTCATAATTTTCATGTTTCAGATAAAAATGCGTATATTAAAAACAATACCAATGATGTTAATTCAAACGATGAGAGCGATACAAGTAACACGGATAAAATTGATACAAATAGTACGGATCAAAGCGATACGAATGACACGGGTAAAATCAATACAAATAATATAGATAAGATTGATACAAGTAATGCTAACAAAATCGATGAAGTTGTAGCTAGTTGTAGTAAAACTGTATCAATTTGTGATGATATGAATGAATACGAACTTAGCGATGAATGGGACAACGATATTGAAATAACGATGGAAGCGACCAGTAATACGGAATCGGAAGTAGATTTGAACGAATCGCGACCATTACCGAAAAAATATTTTGGTAAAAATGTTGCGAATCCAGCTTTGACGTACATGTTAGAGTATAGTGGATTACCGGAAAAACAAATTCTTCATCTTCTTGAACAGAATAAACAGGACAATCATAAAAAATGTACTAATGCATTTGCAATAGAAGACTTGGAGAAGAAAGATAATTTATTAAACATGCAACGTTTAACCTCGATAACCGAAGATAAAGAAGAGAATGCAAAACTCGATTCTACAGAGATTATAAAATCACTTGATACACCGAGTACAGAATTATCTAATTCAAACACAGAAATGAATATCAACCTTCCATCAGTGATGGTATCAAATATTGCAAATAAATCCGAAGTTAAGTCAACAGAAGTAACTATAATTAATTCAACGGATTCAGATACGGATGATTTTATAGAGATAGATGATAAATCAATGTCAGACATGGATACTAGTATTAATAAAAGCACTTCACGCGGAGGGTTTGAAATACAATTTAAATCCGATGAAAAAATCGAAAATGATATGTTTGCTGATATATTTGAGGCGCCAAGCAGTGAACCGAATACGAAAATAGATTCACAAGAGTTATTATTTAACAAATTATTTGAAAAATCGATGGACAAATTGTTCAACAAACGAGAAACAACCTTGAATTCAATGGAAGAAGAAATTAAAGACAAACAGTTGCCCGATATCAAAAAGATGAATGATGTCGATGTACAACCCATGAAAAATGATACTAATGGTACAAATGTAAATGTACAATTAGAAAAAAATGAAATGGAGGAGACAAATGATATGGAACATACAAGTGAGTTTAAAACGGATACTGCGCAAGATAATACAGATGAATCTGTACTAACCAATGTAATAGAGAAAACAAGCCCTATACCTTTGAACGAAGAGGAGTTATTATCCTTAAAGGGACGTCTAGAGGATGAGCAAACTGAGTTAATGGCAAATATCGGTAAATTCGAGAGGCAGGGAATCGACATTTCTGATCGCATACGGACCGAAGCTCAGGTACGTTTAAATCATATAATTTCAAATAATTACCGTGCTTTTCCAATGAAATATGATAACAATCATTCATCGAATAGGAATTGCTACGATTATTTGGAATACCATACATTGTGGCGCCTATGGAAGCAGAGGCGCAATGCGCATACTTGGAACAAATCCAGCTCACCGATGGTACAATTACAGACGATTCGGATATTTGGCTATTTGGAGGACAGTGCGTTTATAAAAATTTTTTCAATAATAATAAAAAAGTCCTTCAGTTTTGTTCAGGCGACATACAGCATCATTTTAGTAAGTTAAACGTCTTTCTGTTAAACGCAGAAGGTATTCGAAAGTTTGAGATAATTAATAAATGTCTTCTAGAATTGACCCGAAACGAAATGATACGACTTGCGCTTTTAGTCGGTAGCGATTATACTACAGGTTTAAGCGGCATTGGACCTGTCACTGCCTTAGAAGTATTAGCAGCGTTTCCATCAGGAGGTGACGACCTGTTGCAGGGTTTAACAGACTTCTGTTCGTGGGTGGAAACTGGTAAAGTCGCAGCTCCCGGGAAAGCGGGTTTGCGAAACAAACTGCAAAACTTAAAAATTCATAAAGGTATGCGGCAATTGTTTTATTGTTATACGTATTTAAGTTAGATTTATTATCATTTTCTACATAGGATTTCCAAGCCAGGCTGTGGTACAGGCATATCTTTTCCCAAAAATAGACGATTCGAAAGAATGTTTCACTTGGGGTAAACCTAACATGGTACTGTTATACGATTATACGAAAAGAAAATTTGCTTGGGACAAAAGCAAATTCAATGCAATTATGACACCGGTGTTGAAAAGATTAGAAGAAAAGAAAACTCAAAAATTAATAGATATGTATTTCAAGTTGCAAACCGTTCCACAGTCGATTGAGATGACTTTGAGTAAACGAGTACAGAAAGCTGTGCAAAGATTAAACAACGCAGAGAACCCAGAGAATCCAGAGAACCCTGAAACTACAGAGGATACTCGACAAGAAGCCCCGAAACGGAAGTTGAAAGCTTTGAATGAAAGCCGAAAGAAAAAGAGGAGCGAACCATGTGGCGATGATTCCAATAAACCTAAGATTAGTCACGTTGCTGTTAACAACGATAAAAATGTCGAAGAATATATACCGCAAAGGGAAAAGGATAAAGCGAATGCTTTAAAGAAAAAATTACACGCAATCGAAGTACTTAGAAAATCAAAACAAGGATTATACAAAACTAAAAAGGTAAAACGTTGCGTAAGAAAAGTGAAAAAGGAAGCTGAACTTTCTGAAAGTGATAGTTCGTAAATCATTTAATATAATATTATACACGATAAAAATTAGCCATCAGATTCTCGTATCGATGACATTTGATGAGCATGTTAATACAAACGTGGAAAGATCAAGCAACGGTATGAAGTATACTCAAAGTATTACATTTATTTATAGATCTCTTATTTTAAATACATTTTTTTTTTATAACTGTTTCCTTTTCTAGAAATATTTATTAAAAAGTTAAATACACGAAATAATGTAATAACAAATTCAACAATTGAACCTAATGTTACGTTTAAAACAACGTACATCTATTCTATTAGTAATCATTAACATCTCTATATTGTTCCTATTCTATTAATACTTTTTGAAATGTTTATTAAACAGACATGAAAAGGTCACTCTGTAATTTCCAACTGGGCGTGTAAAATTGTACCGCCACATTCTTCAGTAATCTCTCATTGGAGTCTTACTACTTAACATTGCTGGTTGATATGGTATCTCGCATAAACTAATTAAGGACAGAACGTCGGTCCTCTATCCTGATTCGTTTCGCTCATGCGTTTCGTTTCGTCCATCAATAATAATTAACGATCGTTTAAAAGCCTGCAGTTCTTCCTTCTCTGCGAGGATCCGAGCTAGCAAATATCTTTCCATTTTCTCTGGTTACTGCTGTGACAGCGCTTCCAATTCCTGAGAAAGTGGTAACGTTATGACCGATGCTAGATAAATATTGTAACACGTCTGGAGCAAAGCCTTTCTCGGTTTGAACAGCCATTGGAATTAGCTGCAATTTTAATTAATTTGTAATTAAGATCACGTTGCGTGGTCAGTGATGTAATAGCATTCATATCAAATTACGACTTTCCATTTACCTGATGATGAATTCTGTTCGCGTCGATCGCCTCTTTTATACTGTATCCTGACCAAAGATTTAATGCCATTCCCGTTGCGACTGCTGTCGTAATTTTTGCGCCGCCCGCGGCACCGATTACCAAACGAACATTTCCGCTTTCATCTACCTTTAGAAAGAAAAGAAAAAAATTATTTGTATACGCGATACATTCGTCGGATACGAAAGTTACAGCGAAACGCTTACAACTATCGCTGGGCTCATAGAACTCAGCGGCCTTTTCCCAGGTTGAATAAAATTCGCCGGCGAAGGAGGTAGATCGAAGCCATTGGTTACGTTCGGTGAACTAAAGTCATCCATTTCATCGTTGAATATTATTCCAGTCTTTCGTGAACGTATCATCGCGCCGAAACTGTGAAATCATGATACAACGTGTAATATAAAATATTCCATTCACGACTTCGATTAGATAGCATAAATATAAGGGGCTTAACGTACACCTGGTTTATGGTGGATGTTACGGACACAGCGGAACCGTCAGGGGCCAAAACGGAAACGTGACATGTTCCGTGATCTTCGCGCAAAGCCGTGACAGCGCCGTAATACTTTGGATCGTTACTCGTTTTATCGCTTTTTATTTTTCTTCGTATCGTGTTAGCATACTCGGTAGACGTCAAGTTGTTAAGTACAGAAGCTGAAAAGATTGCGAACATTTCAACGTTACGTTCTGAAAGATTAGCTAAAATGCGTGGCACACGTGCAACAAGTTAAATCGGTATAATTTACGTCAGGAGCAATTAATAGGAAATATTCCAAGTTATCGATCAGACCCCGAAAATAATACGGTTTTCAAATTATCTCCGATATCAATCCCTTATCACAAATACCAGGCATTCAATAAGCTCGTAATATTTTTGAACAGAAGAAAATTAAACCGACGCTTATCACGCATGTACTTATCTGATACAATGAAGCATTTTTAATTCCTTTGTTGTTACAAATGTATATTTTATTGCGTATAAATATCCCTGCTGACTATGAGATAATATAAAATGTCGACTTACTAACGTTAACGTAAGCGGGATCACCCAACTCTGTCCTCCTGGCGTAAGCCCATTTAAATGTTTCCACGAAATATTGCCACATCACCCGAACATCCTTGTTCGGTACCAAACCGTTCAGCACGTTCATAATGAAGGTTAAAATCGCCCCCGAGCCCGGTGGCGGTGCAGTGTACATGATCAAATTTCCAACCTTGGATTCGATAGGGTCCATCCATTTTACTCTGCAACGAGTTCAATGTATTCTTTCAGTTTTTAATACAATATTCGTCGTGACAAAAGTAGACTCTAGTCCTAAGATGGTCCGGAAAAATCTGCCCCCGGAGGGAAAAGTGTTGGGTATTTTATAGGAAGGTGAGAGTTATCGTGAGTCCAGTGCTCGAACACCGACAAACCTGTAATTTTGTAAATCTTCCTTCTCGATGATTCCATTGAAGGCCTTTAACTCCTCGACCAAAATGTCCCCTATAACGCCGTTGTAAAATATATTTGGTCCGTGCCTCGCGATCAATTTCAACGTCTCCGCTAAACGTGGCCTTTTTATTCTATCGTCTACCTAACAGCGAGCCAATTTCCATCGTTATCGATAAATAAATAAAGAAATGGAGGGATGAATGAAGAAATAAAAAAACGTGTTCACCTTCCAGGTTGAATTGGTAGCAGGATTTATAAGAATCTCTGCCAAAGATTCTTCCTCTTTAATCAATGGTTCCTTGCTCTTCAAATAATTAGCCAGGTAATTGTTTATGCGCGATCCATTGTGGCATAGAGAAATGGTAGGTTCGAACAATTCGGACCACGGTAGTTTCCCGTATCTTCGATGTGCTTCCCAGTAACCGAGGAGTTCGCCAGGCACAGCAACCGCTAAACCGCCTATTGTAAATGGTATCAGTGTAACGCGCGTGCATTGACGAGATACATTCCTTGTCGATAAGAATATAAAAGGTAATGACATACCGCGCAGTGATAATTTTGAGTCACCTTGGAACATGTCTTTGTCCGCCTTGGACGGGGCCGTTTCACGCGCGTCCAAATAACTCGCCTTCTTTCCATCCCAAATTGTCATTAAAAATCCACCACCTAATCCCATACTAATCGTTCGAATGAGAAACACGGGAAATGAAAAATGTAAAGGAAAGAATTATGAGAATCTGTTGATTATCGAATTAAAGAATTACCTGTGCAAAGAGGCGACTCCCTCGCACAGAAGCGCAGCTATCGCTGCATCCACGGCTGAGCCGCCCCTGATAAGCATATCCGCACCGATTTGGGCGCATTCCTGCCCGTTTGTCGATACCGCTCCCTATAAAATAACATTTATTTTGGTGATCGTTCGATCAACAATTAGGATAATCGATACCGTACCTGTTTATAAGTACCGCTGTACGAGTTACTGTCCGAACCCTCTCCATTTGCTGAATTGTTAGCGAGTAAAACGATTATTATCGCTAAGACCACGGCTAAAATTATAGCGATGCTCACCCCATATATTAGGATCTTCTTTTTGCTTAGTCTGCATAGGAAGGAATGATTGAATTAATCTTCGAAACGAAGGAACGCGAAAACAGAATATTTTGACGATAAATCTTTGGATACTTTTTAAGGTAATTCCTTTTAAGCCTCTCCAAATAGAGATTGTGTATCGTTGAAAACAAGATGCACAACTACTTCAAGTTTATTTACAGTCGATCTTTTCGACTGATCGTTCTGTGCGATATCATGGAAATTATTTTTTGCAAATCAATTAGTCTCTGTGCAAAATAATGTATTCAGCTGATTCGGTCGATAATTACGAAACGATAGCTTTAAACCTGTTATTCAATGTAAATTCGTTTAATTTAAATTTCGATTCGAAAAGAACTATACAGTGTTATTTTTGCGAAATGGTAATCGTCTTCTTCCTAGTCTTAACGAATATCTTGATGCAATTTATTAGAAGACGTAGAGGCGCGTGGCAAGCGCCTGTATCGCTGACACGATTAACTCGTTCCTCGTCACTTTCGATTACAGTTTATCCTTCGAATAGAATAAGTGACAATTATTGTGACAATAATTGTACGCGAAACAATGCAATCTATAAAATTACAAATATTTTTTTTACATCCACCGGGTGAACTGTATAATATTTTCATAAAAATTATTAATACAGAAAGGAAGAAAAACTCGATATTATAATTCGAATTAATTTTCGATCCGTCTGCGATATCAGTGATTACGATCAGGTGAAAATGATACGTCTACTTAGTTATCTACCTAATTTACTTTGTATCTTTCTACGGATAGTATCTAAGAATATAACACTTGTAAATCAGAGAAATAAGATTTAACAACGATTCGTTGAGATTCACGTTTGCGTATAATTTTGCAAGGAAATATCTTTTATGTAATGCAATTGATCTCGAAGACGAGGTAATAGTCAATGATGCAATTGTTATCGGTCAATTTCATTTACAACCGTTGTGTAAAATGTACAATCACGTAGGTAACGTGATTGTGTTGAAGAACTTCACTGTCTTCGCGTTCTAATAAATTAACTGGGTGTAATATAGCGTGTAAAGGCACTTAATTAAATAATCATCGAACGTAGCACATTTGCGTGAAAAATTATTTAATTTTCGCACTGTTACGCGCAACTATGATCGATAGAGATGATGCGCCAACGGTGATGATCCTACACTATGGTCCATCAAGAGGAAAGAAAATCCAACGAAGAAAAGTCGTTCGTAAAACGATTTAGATAAAGCGTGAGGATTAGAAAACTTTACCAACCCGATCATGTTGCGTGAGCAAACACGGCACTGAAGAACATTAAACCTTGACTAAACGTTTCACCAAGCCGATCGTTGCCTCTTATACTGGTTACAATACAGATTCTATTTGTTCATCCCCACTACTCTTACACATTCGCAACATTAAATTCAATCAGTTTCTTCGAGTATTTTCAAAATACTATTTTATCATCTTTTTTAGGTTTTTTTAAACCGTAATTTCTTACACTTTCTCCCCTGTACATGGAACGAGTAAGCGAGTTCCTTTTTATACATATATACGCTTACTTAAATCCTGCATCACTGCTTTTGCAGTCTTTTTAGTATTTTCTTATATTCGCTTCTGTTTCTAAACTCAATATATCTTACTGAAATCTGCGAAATGCAATTATAAATGTTATAATTAATGAGCGATTAAAATCTTGTGAATTTATTGCTAAATATATTTACATTTTCTTTTCAAACGAAATAGATTCTCACCTGGAAATCACTTCTCTAGCATTTTCCGAGTGACAAATTTTAAATTCTGCATGTATTACATACCGCTTAAGCCATTCCTTTAATTTAAAAACTGGAATATGTAGAGATCGATATCTGAAATATCCTTTTTTTTCGTAAAATAAAGGCAATGTTCCATGATCCATCATAGAAAGATCAATTAAAAATCAAAAAGAATTAAGTTGCATTTTCACGTCACGTTACCCTCTACCGGTAAGACGTAGAATCAGTGCTGCGGATGAATAGCAACCTCTTTGAAAAACGGCGAAGTCATTTTGTGTGTTAAGTAGTTCAATATAATTTTTAAAAACTTAAAACAATGACAGCAAGATACGATAGGGCGATAACAGTATTTTCGCCTGATGGACATTTACTTCAAGTGGAATACGCGCAAGAAGCTGTTAGGAAAGGTTCCTCAGCGGTACGGTGACAAATTATACTTAACCTGTTTGGTGTTTGCAATCAACTTTATGCCGTTTTCTATACACTTTTATTGGATTAAGTACATCTTCTTTTGGATGAATGTTTCTAAAACGGCACTTGATTATACTTGAATTGTAAAATTAAAGTAATATTTGCATGTTGAAATGTAAACATTCATTCATTTTAAAAAAGTATGTTTCAATAAATTTCAATTCATTTCAGGTTGGCGTTCGTGGTAACGATGTAGTCGTTTTAGGAGTTGAGAAAAAATCTATTGCAAAATTACAAGAAGAAAGAACAGTTCGTAAAATATGTCTTTTGGATGATCATGTTGTAATGGCATTTGCAGGTTCGATCTCAGATAAATTAGATACAAAATATCAGATTAAGGATTAATTTACTAGTTCATCATCCTTTAATGTCAATCATTTTATTTCTTAAGGCTTAACTGCAGATGCAAGGGTATTAATTAATCGTGCACAGATAGAATGCCAAAGTCACCGTTTAACTGTAGAAGATCCTGTTACATTGGAATATATAACTAGATATATTGCAAGTGAGTACATGTATTTTATTATTCATATGAGATAATTGAAAATAATTTATTAATTATCTGTAGGTTTAAAACAAAAGTATACGCAAAGTAATGGTAGAAGACCTTTTGGAATATCGTGCCTTTTAGCTGGGTTTGATTACGATGGTATTCCACATTTATATCAAACAGAACCCTCAGGCATTTATTATGAATGGAAGGTATATTTTTTTGCAGAATATTTGTTACTTTGAAAAAGAAAGAGAAACACTAAAGAAAATTATTCTTGATTTCGTTTTGTAAAGGCAAACGCGACAGGTCGAAGTGCTAAGACTGTTCACGAATTTTTGCAAAAGTATTACACGCCAGAAGAAGTAGCAACAGAAAAAGGAACCATAAAACTAGCTATTAGAGCATTATTGGAAGTGGTACAGTCAGGGAAAAAGAATTTAGAAATCGCGGTAATGCGGCGTGGTCAACCATTACAGGTATAACTTCTACACCTGTTTTCTTATTTATACAAAAAACTACATTACTTTCAAATGTTTTTTATATTGTAGATGTTAGATTCAGATACTATCGGGGATTATGTCACCGAAATTGAAAAAGAAAAAGAAGCAGAAGCTGAAAAGAAGAAACAGAAAAAGTGATGTCTTTATATAGAATTTCACTTTTATTATTCATTCATTGATGATGTTTTGCATAAAATAAATATACAACACATGGGTGAAAAAAAGAGAAACGAAATTATCATATTCCGTTTATTTGTATTTTACTGCTGTGTTTAAAAATTATATGTACATTTACACATATTTTTAAATACATGATTTAAGGCTAGCAATGCAGAGGATTGCACTTTCCTTTATTTGTTATCTACATTATGATAGAACTAATAATAAATATTCAAATTGCAAAGCTGTCATAATGTTTTATTTGTTACTTCATTTGCAATTCTCTATGAATGTATCATGAGTACATTAGTTTTTTACAAAAATTACATTTTGAAATAAATATTACTAACACAAGTGCTATTGTGAATAATATGGAGATAAAGATCTTCCTCGATGACTGAACATTTGGAATGATGGAAGATTTCTTAACGTTTCCCAAGATTTATTTTCCAGATCAACTACTGCTCGGATCTCTTTGAAATCACCCGCAATATACATTACGCCATACATAACCATAAATAAACTGACAATACCCTGTATTAAAATCTAAAGAAATAACATTATTCATTAGTAATTATGAACTTTATATAATTTTTAATGTTATTTGATACTTACATCTATTGGTAAAGTAGTAAATTCTTGTTCGGTTATTCGTAAATACGTACGATCTATAAGAACATTGGTTCCACGAGATTAGATTAAATATCAAACGTGAAACATTATAATCTCGTAGGTATTCTACTGCAATTAAATAAGATTTAAGTATACGAATAATACATACGTTGAGCTGCTGAATAAGCTGCATGCAATATCGACATAAGTCCTATAAATGTTATAAATTTATGTAAAGTTGTGGCAGGCATTTTAATGACTAAACATGAATTACAGCAATTCGGAATAATTTAACCCTTTTTAATAACTCTTATGTCACTGATATTAACATTTTTAATAAATAAGACTCATTTTCATCTACAAAAGAACAATTATTAAATTAATAGCACTCTTGTATTGATTACTACTGAATATTAATATTTTTCCCGATATTACAATTGTTTTGAATGATATAAAATGAAACCTTTATTTTACAGATGTACAAGACTTTGTTTTCGAGGGGTAATGATTTAAGGGGTCCTAAACACCCCAAATGAAAGAGGTCTCTGCATGCAGGTCACCTACTGCAGGCCACCGTGGTGGTTTTAGTGGGTAAAAATCCCACACTACCTCCAGCCCCTCCACAGGGGGGCTGAAGGTGTCTTTCTGAAGATTTCCACCACGTTAAACAAAAAAAAAAAAAAAAGGGGGGGTATTTAAGGGTTGCAGGGATGTAAGGAATGCTGCGATGGAAGGAATGCAGGGATGTATGGGTTCCTGAGATGGCCTTGGCCTATAATGAGGGATAAAATTATATAAATAACTGGAAAAAATAAAATAAATGGGGTCCTCGGCGGGGAACCAGGAGTGGAATATAATCATAAATGTTATCCGCTTTGATGAGCTCATTTATTAAACAAAAAAAAATAAATGAAGTAAATTAAATAAACTCTGGAAAAAATTTATATTGGTTGTACACCTCTTCATACGGTCCTGACATTATCCGGGGTTTCGGAGACCCCAAAGCAACGATAACTCTTTTTGGATATTGACATTATGATATCTGGGGTTTCGGAGACCCCAAAGCACAAATGACTCTTTACATACCGACAATATGGTATCTGGGGTTTCAGGGACCCCGAGTATCCTCCTGGGGTGCCAAGGACCCCGGATACCACTCCTGGGGTTCTCAGGAACCCAGATAACAATTCTGGGGCTCTCAGGAACCCAGATGACAATTCTGGGGCTCTCAGGAACCCAGATGCAATTCTGGGGTTCTCAGGAACCCAGATGCAATTCTGGGGTTCTCAGGAACCCAGATGCGATTCTGGGGTTCTCGGGAACCCAGATACAATTCTGGGGTTCTCGGGACCCCGCGTGCAATCTTGGGGTTCTCGGGACCCCGCGTGCAATCTTGGGGTTCTCGGGACCCCGGTTGCGGTCTTGGGGTTCTCAGGAACCCAGAAGCAAGTAGCGAAATATAAGAACGAAAAACGAACAAATCGTGAAACTTACTTGTTCGGGGTAGTGATGGGTTTGAACGGATCTAGCGAAATATAAGAACGGAAAATGAACAAATCGTGAAACTCACTTGTTCGGAATAGTGATGGGTTTGACCGGATCTAGCGAAATATAAGAACGAAAAACGAACAAATCATGAAACAAACTTGTTCGGGCTAGTAATGGGTACGACCTGATTCGATCCTGGGGTGTCTGGGACCCCGAGGCACCGTTGATTCTCCCTGTATACCGACATTATTGTATCTGGGGTTTCGGAGACCCCAAAGCATTAATGAATCTCTTTGCATACCGACATTATGGTATCTGGGGTTTCGGAGACCCCAAAGCAATAACGAATCTCTTTACGTACCGACATTATGGTATCTGGGGTTTCGGAGACCCCATAGCTCCAATCAATCTGCATACCGACAGTATGGTATCTGGGGTTTCGGAGACCCCATAGCTCCAAGCAATCTACATACCGACAGTATGGTATCCGGGGTTTCGGAGACCCCAAAACACAAATGATACGCCAATATACAGTAACACTAGCCACTGTATACAGCTTTCAGAAAATAATGAACATTGTATTAGGAATTGGAAACGTTACCTCACATCTGTTCGCGTCGGCTTTTCCATAAAATCCTTCTATTAATGGCGCGTATCATTATGTTAAAAAGAATTGTGTAAAATTTTAACAATTTACTGCAACTACGTAGTGAAATCTTAATGAAACTAATTCAATTAAATCAGTTACATTTTGATACGTATATCAATATCGTTTTTTTCTCTTCTTTTTATTGTATAAAGAAATTAGTCGGCGTTGAAATACCCCGAAGAGTTGCAATAATTTATAAACACTTATAATGATGATAAAAAAGAAAAAAGATATGTGATTTGTAAAATATGTATGTATAAAAATGACAGTTCTGATTTTTGAGAAATGGTAAATTAAGTTGTAACTGAAATCTTACAAGTATAGCGTTTGATGGTGTTTGAAAGAAAATGAAATCCGATTAAAACGAAATTTAAGTTCGCGTAATTCTTAGTTCATAAACGCACGTACATAAAGTACGTGAAATTCTGCATTTATATTTTTATAACAGAATACATTTGTTATGTTAATACATTTTTTCGTAAGTGTGTATAAAACTTTGATGAAAGCATTAGATACATTTTTTAATAGAAATTGCAGCAGCAAAAGTACTATATCGTTTATGCGTTTCAGATACCATGGATTCTGAAAATTCTATCATGCTAGAATCATGCGGAGAGGATTCACTTTTGATTCAAACCGTAAAGAGCATGGTGACTGAAAATAGCCATACCGAATTGGAAAGTGAGGAAGGATTTTTTGTAGTGACAAATGTTCAAGACGAGCACCAAAATGTGATTGAAGTTTCAAATGAGGAATCAACGGTAACACAGTCTGAAGAACGATTGTCTTGGTCTAATTTGTGCAGAGTATGCGCTAATACCAATGATCATATAATTCCAATATTTGAAGGGGAAGGATTACAACATGATTTGTGTAACAAAATACATAAATATCTACCGATACAGGTATTCATTTAGATATATTTATGTATACATTACATTTGCATACATAACGTTGCTTAAATATCTCTCATAGGTATCTGAAAATGATACACTTCCATTACAATTATGTTATCATTGTGCTGCTACATTATTAGCATGGCACGAGCTATCAGAAGGATGTTTGAACGCGGAAAGAAGATTGCTGGAAATGCAAGATGCTTTACAAGAAAAACAAGTATGTTATTATTTCTTTCCCTCCTAGTAAAAGAAATGATTGATTTCAGTAAGTTTATATTAATTTTATAGAGTTTAGAAAAATTGGAGGCTTCTACACAGGAGGATACTACATCTGTATCTAATGTAACAGAATCTCTTGTAAGTATGAAAAACTTGGATTAATAACGTTTTACACGTTGTTACACTTGCTTCATCTACTTATTTTTCTAGCATCTCTAATTTTTCTTCAATAATTCGTTTAATTTTAGCATCAGCCACAAGATACCGTAGTAAAGGATGAAGTTTCGGAAGAATCATCTGTTAATGATTCGGACAGGTAATGAATTATTTTAATTAAAGATAAAACAAACTCATGATACATTGTATCTGTATAATATATACATTGAACGTGCAGAAAAAATGCCCTTTATAAATTAATCTTAATAATTACTGACCAGTACATATTTTCATGTAATAGTATGATTCACTTTTTCATAATAATTTTTCATCGTGAATACGAAATGGATAAATAAATTTTGTGTACAAATTAAAGAACTGCTCTTTAATAACACGTTGGCTATTTGTATTTGAAACATGGAACAAGGATTACTGTGAGTCTGTTATGAAAAATATTTATACATACATACAACGAAAATGAAAATGTGACTATGAAATACAACGGTTAGACTTTGAAGGTTGTCAAGAAAGATAATGTTTTTCAAGAGCCATTGATAATCGGATTGAAACAAGAACAATCTTCCGCATCGTATAGCTGCAAATCCAAAGACAAGTATTGACTGTTTTACAGGTCCGGTAATATGCAGACACCGTTTAAGGTGTTTCTAGACACGCAGAATATTTTTCGGAAGCCATACAGAAATAAATACCAGCTACAAGATAAAAAGAAATGTATGGACGACGGGGATTACGATTCGATGTGGGTCACAGTGATGAATTCGACACTCGATCAACCTAACGATATATCTGATTCGCTTCAGAAAAATGACATTGAGGTAAAAGTTGAGGATTCACGGATATTAGACAGCTGTCGGACATTGGATAGACGTTACAAGTCGGACAGCTTAGAGAAACTAAAATTAGACGATGAAACGTGCAAGGAATCGAATCCTCGGAACACAAGAAATGGAAGCAAAAGAGTAAAAGGAAAGTGTAAAATATGCTGTAGCGATTCGAACGATTCTAATCATTCTTGCGAGCATACGAAGCAGAAAGGTGTCGTCGAGATTCAAGAATCTTACCAATGCATCGAATGCGGAAAATGTTTTAGATTGAAAGACTCTTACTTGAGACACATGCGAATTCATAGGGACGAAAGACCGTTCACTTGTCACGTATGCGGCAAGCAATTTCGGGATTCCGGTGGCCTGTCCAGGCACTTCAAAGACGTACATGCGAAGCTTAAAAATTTCACCTGCGACATTTGTGGTAGATCATTTGCATCGAAAGCGACGAGAGAGGATCATCGTAGGACGCATACCGGCGAAAGGCCTTACGTGTGCGATTCGTGCGGAAAGGCTTTTAAATCGAAAGCATCCTTGTACATTCACAGTAAATTACACACGGACGAATTTCCGCATCCCTGTTCTTACTGTAACAAAAAGTTTCGTAGAAGGCAGCAAATGCTGGCCCACGTGACCACTCACACAGGGGAGATGAAATACGATTGCGACGTATGCTCGAAAAGATTTAGAGTGAAATCAGAACTCGTCAGACACAAGTTAATTCACTCGGAGAACAAACCATTTGCTTGCACCACGTGTGGCCTAGCTTTCCGACAGAAACGTTACTTAAATAATCACATTAAAAGCAGACACATTGAAACCTTACGAGCATGTTAACGTGCATTTTATATCGTTTACTTCTACACAGATAGTTCTTCGATTATACGAACAGACCAAGAGTATTCAAATCCTGGTACATTTATTATTTTTCCAGGTTTGGTCTACCTCGGAAGAAATCCTTCACCGCGTACTGCTCATGGCAGACGGCCGATAACGATTGTACAGTTCCTCAGAAATTCGACGAGATAAATGTTCAAGAGAGCACAAACGAGACGAACGAAAGTACCGATTCGTTCGACAACGACGATAGTACGGATTTCGATATGGCAGAAATGATAAAAACATTGTCACCCCCTCGAAATTGTTCGAACGAGACAGCGCCGTTATTCAAAATGTACGACGATTCACAACGTACCGAAAGTCCCAAGGAGAAAAGCGTACAGGACAAAAATCGGAAGAACTGGAATTTATTTCATAAACATAAAAGGAAAAGAGTGGAATCGCATCCCTGCGTGTATTGCGATTATACAAGTAAAAAGAAGAAATTACTCGAGTTGCATTTGATGGAATCTCACCCGGAATTCAACGGGAAGAAGGATAAAAAATTGAAATGCGCCGATCGCGAGACGGTGATGCGTGCCAGAATGGAGGTCGATGGAAAAGTGTATTATCATTGTAACGAATGCGGTAAAAATCTTTACTCGCCGTACACGTTTTCCTGGCATGTACGTATACACACAGGGGAACGTCCGTACACTTGTCATCTTTGCGGGAAACAATTTCGCGTGAACCAGGGCCTGGCAAGACATTTGCGGGACACCCACGCGGGGATTAAGAATGTTCCTTGCGATATCTGTGGACGAATGTTCTCTACGAAGCGCAACGTCGAGGATCATAAACGAATTCATACCGGTGAACGACCGTACGTTTGCAACGTCTGCGGAAAATCATTTAAGCAGAAAGCTTCTCTCTTCGTGCACAATCGTACTCACTCGAACGTATTTCCTTTCAAATGCAATCACTGCGAGCACAGCTTTCGAACGAGACCGTCGCTTATGGTTCACATAACTAAACACACCGGTGAGAAGCCGCACGCGTGCGACATATGCGGCCGATGTTTCCGTATAAAATACGAGCTGAAACGACACCGACTGATACATTTCGACGAGAAACCGTGGCAATGCAACGAGTGCGACCTTTCGTTTCGACAGAAACGCTATTTAGTTAATCATAAGAAAAGTAATCATAGTACAACCGCATTCGTGGCTTCTGTGAAGTAATTTAGCAATGCTCTCTTTTCAGGTGTAATTGTGAACTGATGAAACTCGATGTTAAACAGGAGCCAAGCGTTTCTGGCAAGAAAATGAAAATACGGAAAGACGTGATAACGATTTGAGAATGCTACTGCTTTCAGACAGTGATTCGAGTAAAATAATGTTCAGAAGAATCGAGAGGAATTGGCACGAAAATAATTGACCACCTCGCATCGAGGAAAAATCATACATTTGTCATCGATGCGGGAAAAGCTTTCGTTGCCCGTCTGGGCGGACACATCTATGACGTTCAAGAGAAATTAAAAAAGTTTTCTTGGCATCGGTAGCTCTGAGACATCTATAGAAGAATCTGTACAGGAGAAAGATTTCAAAATCGTAGAAACAAAAGGCATCTCTGCACGTTCATAAATAATTCAATTAAAAAAATCTTTTCTCACAAATGTTCCTTGTGCGAGAAAAAATAGCAAAGGGCTGTACCTAGTCGTAAACGCGTTTGCAACGAGCAACAGTGTAACACGTTCGTCTCGTATGAAATTCAATGAAGAACGTATTCGAAGAACCGCAGCAAGAATTTACATAAGACTTAGCATTCGATCAGCATGATATCGACATGTTTATTTTGCAGGTGGAAGACCGACACTGACGAGATCGTACAAATGCCTACAGTCGATAGCGAAAGTACAAACGCTGAGGAGGTAGAATACATCCAATGCGCTCAATGCGATGTCGTCTTCGTAAACATGAAATATTTCATAGATCATATGAACGCCGAGCACGAGACTCAGATGCATTACTGTCAGTATTGCAAGCTCGTGTACAACGGTCAGCAGAACGATTTCGAGGAACACATATCGATGCACAATTCTGATAATCAAAATTCAAAGTTCATCTCTGAAAATAAAACTGTGGAATGCTTGAACGAAACAAAGAAGGGCGATGAGGTGTTCGATGGAAATATAGTTGATACAGAACAATTTTCAAGTTACACATGCAATTTGTGCGAGAGAAGTTTCACGAAGAAATCTGAATTAAAGAAACACATAAACAGACATTCCGACGTGAACAGAATCCAAAATCCAGAAGAAACGGAACTCGTAAATAAAGCTAAGCAAATAATCAACGATCGTGTCTCGTACAAGTGTGACACGTGTAAAAAGATCATATTCACGAAACGTGGATTTTTACGGCATATTCGTGTCCATTCTGATAAACGACCTTGCAGATGCGACTTGTGCGGGAAATCATATCGAATCGAACAAGATCTAGCTAGACATATAAGGGACGTTCACGAAGGGTTGAAGAAGTACGCCTGCGACATTTGCGGTCGTGCGTTCGCGAATAAAGGAGCTAAAGATGATCACCGAAGGATTCACACCGGTGAACGTCCGTATGCTTGCGAACATTGCCCAAAAATGTTTCGTACACTGAATTCGATTTATATTCATAATCGTGTACATACGGATTACAAGCCTCACAAATGTTCGTACTGTGGAAAACATTTCAGAAGCAGGCAAAGATTAACTCATCACGAGACTACGCATACCGGTATCAAAGCTTTCGCGTGCGAAATTTGTGGTAAAACATTTTCTGTTAAGGGAGAAGTCGTTAGACATCGGGCTATACACAACGATGAGAAACCATTTGATTGTAAATGCGGTATGAAATTCGGTCAGAAAAGATACTTAAGAAATCATATAAAGCAACATCACAAAGAAGCGTCCTCTTGGTTGTTGGCGGAATTATTAGGGAATAATAATTAAAGCGCGGGTCGTTAAAGATAACTTTGCCTTAAATACTTTTGTACGAATATTATGCGGGATAAGCTGTACAGTTAGGATACGTAAATTTTATTTGTTATATGATTTTTGTATCGCAAAGAAATATTATAAATTGAAAATTGATAATAATACATTGTATTAAATACCTGTCTCTGTTGCACTTAACGAAGCTCTATAATGAATCAATTATACGAAACAATTAAAAATCAGTCTATTAATGTCCATTATTCAATTACTTTGATAAAATTTGGGATTATTCTTTAATGCATATGAAATACAAAAATATATTTAAGACAGTTATAAGGGAATTTTGTAAAAAAAAAAAGTTTATTTTACCTCTTTATTTAAACCACATTGTTTTAAATAGAAATCATAAGAAACAGTATTATGAAAGTACAAAAATAGTGTATAAAGATTTATTATGCCATCCATGCATGCTTTGGCTGTGATTTCTTTAAAGGAACTTACTTTTTTAAATAACAGAGCATCTGTTTTTTAAATTTCTGTACTAATATCTGTAACGCGTTTTTAAATATTATAATATGATTATTTTTACGTGTATCATAATATCTCTTACCTCTTCGACAACACATGGCACTTCCTTTGGTTGGTTAACTGTATTATTAACATCGCTTAAAACGAGTTTACCAATATCGATATTTTGCACTAAAGTATCGAAATCGTCTAAAGCTAATCTTTTTAAATTCAACATAACATTTGAGATTTTTATATGGTCTCCCAACTTTTTATATTTCTAAAAATATAAAAATACAAAACGATACTCATATATTTGTGATAAAACATGTATATAAATTTAAATAAATAATAAAACTTACAAAATTATTTGTTAAGTTTGAATCTATTATACCAAGTTTTTCAAGATTCTTTATTCTTCTTCTTTCGGTTAACTTAAACAGTTTTCTCTGTGACTTTGTTGCTCCTAATAAGCATCGTATGATGTTCCTTTTTTCTGTACTTTCCCAAGGATTGTACACTTCAACATTTTCCTCCTTCCAATCTTCCATTAAAGGTACGGAGAGTTCTTTTACTGTTTCCAAAGGAACTGATCCAACTTCATTTGTTGATTGAAAATTATACAACTCTTTTACGTTTCCACTGCTGGCACAGTTTAAGATGTGATGCTACAATTATATACATTTGTTATAAATTTCAAGATGAATGTTTTCTATTCTAATACCATCCACACGAACATGTTTTATTAGTATAATTGTATTATTATAATTATATATAATTATTATAATTAATATAATTTATTTTCACCTCAAAATAGTCCTCGTCAATTAGATGAAAAGCATCGAATGGACATTGTATTTTCGTTGAAGGATAGCCTTTCTTGCATTGCATCAAATATTGTGCCAACACACTTTTGCGAATCTGATAAGTTTCTTCCCGCGGATTCGATAATATCGAATCCAATGCCATTATATTTATCCTAAAAACATATCGAATTACATAATAATTATTTAATTAGCGTTACGTTATAAAGTGGTTAAAAAGTGAATGCTTACAACTTCATGTTTATTTATTGAAGTTTTGCAACCACGTGTTGCTCTCTTTAGCAGTCTGAAATCGTCTTTATGTGAATTTTATAGGTGTATAGGGGCACGTGGTTTTACTATGTTTCCATAGAACTCGGTACATACACAAATCAATGAAGAACTATAAATATAAAACGACATTAATTCTTACCTTCAACTGTTAACTTTCCTGTTTTGTTGGTCGATTATTTTAGCTATTACGATTTCCGCAGTTTTGTATATTTTTACTACTCTTGTTTGAAATCAAATTACTTTGTTCATTTCAAAACATCCTTTCGGAATTCATTTCGTCGCAATTAAAGTAGATTTCGCAGACCTCTTTTGTTTAAAGCAATTGAATTACACAAACGGATTTTGCGCTAAAATTACGAATTGGCATGTATTAATTTGTTTTATTTAAGACGCATTTAGAAACGTTATCTCAAAAATAAGTAATTTTACGTATTTTCAGAATTGAAACAGCGTATCTATAGTTAAAACAACCTTGCACGTGCACGTAATACATCGAAAACTATTTATAAGCGAAACACCGTCATCGTATTATTGCCCGAAATAAGTTGGTCCACGCAAACACAGAAAAGATGGTGTTACGAATATAAATATCATTTATGTATGTGATTCTTTTTACACGAATTCTGTATTTAATGGGGTACTAATTTTTAGCATGAAGTTATCCATGATTAATTGCGCGCCAATATATCGATCGAACACCGTGAAGTTGGTATGAATTAATAAAAATTCAAACTTTATGAACAATTACAAATTAGGATAATATCAATATTACAAATATTGTAATTTTCTCAACCTATGATAATTAATGAAATAAGAAACGTGTTCTTTGTAAATAAATAATGTAAAATATGAATACGTTAGAGGGTACAATTTTGTTCAACATTTTTATAATATTTTTAACCCGAGTCCTGTCTTCGATTCTGTTTGCACATGTCTATAGAGGATATAATAATCGACGCGTTGGTAGAGAGGTGGAAAGCTAACGAGACGGTCTGACAAATATATCAGTCTTAACCCACGCAGTTTTAAAGCAAGTGGCCGACAGAAGACGACGAAAGAACAGTCATGGAAATTTGCATTACGGGAACTGCGAGTTTCGTCAACGAATATCTTTCGCGTGTTTTACTTTGAAACGAGTTCCTCGTGTTCTATGACGCTTAAAACTACAATCATTTTCATAGTTCTTTAATCAATAATCCTTCGCATAGGACTTTGGATAAGATATTAGTTCTTGATCAGTTTGGTAATATTTTAGTGTTAATGGGACACATTCACCGTAATACTTTTCTTGGTATTATTCTATAAACATTACTGAGTAAATTTTTATTTTAACATTTTGTTTCAGACATACATATGCTACCGTGTTAATTATGTGTAAGAAATATGATTCTTATTAGTGTCGAATTATTCAAACGCGTGTGATCAAGATTGCCAACATGCAGCGGGTTCTGAGTTTTCAAATGGCTCGCGGTTTCAGCGAGTCTAGTGAGTTTGTAACGAAACGTATGTGTTTTTCGTTCATCTTCTCCGTCGGTTTCCTTTGTCTACTGTGCGGTTTCTTACTTGGACGTTTTGCTACGCAAAGGGCCATAGAGTTTCGAGCAGAAAAGAAACGTCTCGAATTTGCGGGAAACGGTCTCGAGAACACTGAGCATTTACAGCATCTGTTGCACGAGCAATTGGAAAGGGCGCCACTCGATCCTGATTTTGAAACGTATGCCTATTCGCTGTTTCCATTCGTCAATTAACAAATTGTTATATTACATTTGAATATTTGTAAAAACAGGAAATGGGAGCTTTTTAATGTCGGAGAAAATGACGTGCGTAGAGTAAATGGAATTCTCTCGAATTTATCGTTTATTCATAAAATCGTCGAACACGAATCGTATATTGCCGCAATTGCTCGAGGATCCAGAGAACCTGGTGAATTAAATTCTATGTAGTAATTTTAAACGAATTAACGTAATTGTTTTTTATTAATTATCATATGTTTAGACAGGTATGTGGTTTTGTCGGCTAGCGGTGAAGGCGTTGGTATTGTTTTAGAATTGGCAAAAACTTTGAATCACATTCAAGGAGAACACCGGTGGAAACCACGCAGATCAATCATTTTCTGTTTATTTTCGGGATCTTCGAACCCTTGTTCAGAGATATTGTCTACATTTATGCGCAATAAAGTTATAGCTTATGTTGTTATACATCATCAAGCTTTACAGGGTTTGTATATCCTAGAAATGTGTAAGGAAATTTTCAACTTTTTATATAATTTAATTAATTACAGGGAGAGGTCCATTTATTGTATCTGGATCTGATATAGTACAATCTGTAGTTCTAGAATCTGCAATCACTGTGAAAAATTGGTTATCACATAACAGTCAATTGTTGTCTCTAAACAGTGTGTCTCATAATGTTACAATTTCTAGACTTACTTTAGATACACCTCATGTAGTATTATCTTTTATGGTAAGCAGTAGTAACAAGCATTATTATTTATGTAATAAACACCTTTTATTTGGATTCCTATACCTTTAGAACAACAATAGTACATACACTGAGAATGATCATGAGAGGGAATTACGTAAAATTATTTTAGCACAAGTACTTGGTCAAACCATTTGGAAGTTATCTGAATGTTTAGTTATAAAGTGGAATCCAAGTTACTTCAATGAAACTGTTTCTACAGCATTAGGATTCATAAATAACACTGAATTAGTGGAAACCAAAGGTATAGAATATTTAGGTATAATTCAATTCTAATGATATTAAATAAAATTATACTTTTTAGTAAAAATACAACAGACTGTGGTGAAATTATTGAATAATATCAAACTTTTAAATGAAAAGATTGATACAATTGATAATATCAGGTATGTAATTTTTATAAATTACTACATAGTTATATATTTTAACATTTCAAAAATACAAAAGGTCTCTTATTATTTTCCAGCACACTTGAGATCAGAATACTGAATGATTTCTTAATGGACTTAGATAGAGCCCTTCTATGTCCTGATAATAAACTTCAATCAAGAACTAATTGGTCAGAATTCCTTAGACTAAGTCACGAGCCTTTTAACATAATTTCAATGTATCTTAATGAGATGGTAAAGTGTTATGAAATTGCCATTCAACTATTACAAGATCGATAGGAAAAATGCAAAAGTACAAACAATTTAGGTATAATATATTTTTTAATGACTGTGGTAACACTAATTAGTTACCACTGAAATTTATTGCACTCTTTTTAACACTTTTACCACATACTAAATCCAAATTTATGTTCAGGAGTTCCTATGTTTCATTCAGATATTATTATAAAATGCACTGCACGTTTATGTACATAAAAATAAGTACAAAACATGTATTACTTCTACCTGTGATAAATAAGATGAATTTAAAAGCTTTATATTAATGCATGCTTCCTATACCATATCGTATTTCCCTTTCAAATTGTGAAGCATCAAGAGTTCCTTCAATAGCTTTACAGTCTGGATTAAACACAGAATATGCGCTAAGTTCACCAGGTTTCTTTGGCTTGGAACCAGTATTCAACCAAATAAATACCAATGTTGATAAAACAAAATAAACCGCTCCAAATTCAAATTCAATTGCAATTATGTATAAAGTGGCCCACAGAAGGAAGTAAAGTAGATATGTTACTGTTGTTAACACTGAACATTGCGATTGGTCTGTACTGTCATCTGAACAGGTGCTTTCCATATCCTGGACATCCTGCAAGCTTTCAATCTTTAATCATACTAATCTATTATATCAAGTTTTCAATAAATGATTTGTTCTCCGTATATATTTATTGTAAATGACCTACAATAATACTCATTTATTTAATGATGTAACAATATGAGTGGTATACAACAGCTGCTAAACACGGTATTATATACCTTACGTCATAAAATAACATAACCTTTACCTCTGAGTCGTTTGTGGGCGGTAACAGTGGAGATTCCGTAGCTGTTTTATTTCTATTCCACGGTAAGACATTATGTATAGCATTTTTAATAGATTCCGTCATTTTTTCTTTGCGTTTTTGACGTCTGTAGGCGTCTATCTTATCTTTTATACCAACCCCATCCATAATAGATGCGGACATTGACTTCTTTCTTTATTACGGTACATATGTTTGCAATTAACGTGCATTTTGCAAAGTGATTTACTGTTTTAGTACACACGCATTATTTTTTTTTTTATTGATCCATGATCGCAAAAAAAGATGACAGAATGTATACAAAGTTTAATTGACGCACGTGTTAACCAAATGAAGTTCGCCTATTACTTCCGGTTGCAAACCTCTATATTTAAGTACATTACAATAGAATAATCCATGGTAAATGTGATTTCATAAATTGTGTAACTCAAAAACTGTATCAAAAATGAAAGAAAGTAAAAATGTAATAAATGATGGATCACAGACTGACCTTACTAATCAATATAGTCGCTTATCCGCGGCCGCCGATTTTGGATTTTCCTTTGCCATTTCTGGACTCTTGGCGATGGTGTTTAAAACCATAGTCGCACCATTAGAAAGAGTTAAGTTAATTCTACAGACACAGTCGAGTAGCCGTCAAATTGGAACGGCAAAAAGAACCGCTTACTCTGGTTTTCTCGACGCGCTCGTTAGAATACCCAAGGAACAAGGATTTTTATCTTTGTGGCGTGGTAATCTGCTCAGTATATGTCGATACTTTCCAGCGCAAGCAATTAATTTTTCCTGTTATGATATTTATTACAATGCTTTATTACAAGTACGTACAAAAATAGTTGCATCAAATTCATGATGCAATGTAGGCTTCCTTTGGCTGATTATAGGGAGAGGAGTCTTCCTCTACTTATCTAGGATGCTGAGAATATCGAAGAAGAGATTAAAGAGAGCCTAATTTAATTAAAACCTTTCACATATCTTTTTAACCAAAGGAAGCTTAAATTGCACACGATTGGATATAAATATCACGTTCGCGCGTAAACATTACATAGTATTATTTAGATTATTCAACCATGGACGGCTTATAGTCATAATCTACTTCCGTTTCTGTCGGGTGGCGCCGTCGGCGTTACGACCTGCATACTTCTCTTCCCCCTGAATTTTTGCAATACCAGAATATCCGTAGATCTCGGAGATGACAAATCGGTCAAACGAGAATTTCTAAATTTAAGGGACTGTTTGGGTAAAGTTTACAAAAATGATGGAGTCAGGGGCTTCTACGAAGGGATGTCACTCATGGCATCCGGAATGTTTATTTACAGGTTTAAAATAATCTTGATATCTATGATTTTAAAATATGTCCATCGCCAGTTATTTGTATCGCCACGCGATAGACTACTGTAATTGGTATATTAATTTTTTCTTTGATATAGAATCAATGATGGAAAAATAAAAATATTTAAAATACGACATAAAGTAGATCATCGATTTTGAATAAATTTTTACAGGGCAGCTTACTTTGGTATCTACACAATCTCTAAACGAATATATTTGAACGCAAACTCGTCAGATTCGACGGTACAAACGATGCGAACGCCATTTTTAGTATCCCTGGCGCTTGCTGAATTATCATCTTTCACTGGAACAATGATTTCTTATCCGCTCGAGACGATAGCTAGACAGAAAATGCTTTGGAGCGGACATGGTTTGAAAAGTTATGTGACAACAAGACAAATGGTCGGTAAAATGAGTCATGATTGGAATTTTAACCTTCATTTTTAAAATTATTCAATGAACACACTATAGATCAGTAGGGTTCTAAAGAAAGACGGTCCAATTGGTTTTTATAGAGGGGTTATCGCTAATCAGTTGACGACGGTATGCGGATCTTTCGTTCTGGTCACATACGATTTAATTAAGGGACACTACGACATATTAAAGGAGCCAAAGGTATACAATCTATGTGGTATATTGTTGGATCATGCGCGTTTGATCATTTACAATTATACATTTATTAAAAGGCTGCTTCTAATACTCGAAGGCTAGATGATTAATTAACACGAACACTAACGTCCATATACGAAACGTGTACTGACTGTTGAGAAGGAAGTTCATCTATAACTGAATTGTATAAAGTTGAAAAAACAATATTTAACATTTTCTATAAAATAAAATTTGTCAATTTCTCGTTTCTGTCTAATGTTCTTGAATTTCAGGTATACAGCGTTCTACGTTCCCTGTCAAGTTCATCATGCCGATAAGCGTATCGTGTTACACAATTACAGAGGCTTAGGAAATATCCGCATATACTGATAAGAATAACGATCGGGTCAAGGATGGCTAAGAAATTCGCGATAAAATGCAATTTAGCGATTCGTTGAATCTAACCACGTTAGAATCAATTTTTTATCCTGCGTTGATTACAGTTTCCTCGAACTTACGATATATAAAGATAAATACGAAAGCATCTATTTCATTCGAATGCTTTCCTTTCAGACTTATTGTATATTTTTCGTGTTTTTAACACATTCAACCACTATGTGGATGAGCATTATACGTTAAAAGTAGAACTATAAAAAGATACTTAAAAATTTTTGCATTGATTATATTTGCATTGAAAGAGAATCTTAATGCGTGTGTTTGTTACATAAGATTTTCACTTTCCCAGTAGATCATGTGCAGAAGAAATCTAATCTAACACGTTTGACCGTGAAATGGTACTTTGTTCTATGTATCTTCTAACTACACATGCCGCGTGAAACACGTACGTCAAGAGCCTCGATTGAACTTACTCTTAGCGTATCAAATAATAAATCACTCTCACTAGAGACTTTGTCGTGACACCATTGCCCAAAGGGGCGCGTGGAGAGATTAGGATGTCACAGGTACCTGTAAACGTGCCACCCAATAACAACCATGTCTCAAACAATAAGGGAAGTGAAATGGAACATTTGAGGAACCATAGCTCTGGTCGTTTGGCCACCGAGAGTGTTAGGGATGGTCGCGTGTTGGTCCTTTACACCGGTGGCACGATTGGGATGATCAGAAACGAGAATGGAGGTACCGTTTCAATTAATTAAAAAATTAATTGTTTAATACGAAAATTAATACGTTTCCCTTTTACAGTTCTTGTACCTAAGTCGAACGCTTTCGTGAAGAAATTGCGCAACTATCCTCACATGCATGATAAAGAGTACGCGGATGAACGTTTCGGATCTATGGGACCGTTAGTACTCCCGTAAGTTCAGGTATCTGATCGTTCAGACGTAATGGGAGTTTTACTCTCTGCGGTCTGACTATCTAATAGTATCTGAGAATACGCAATTACGAGATGAACTTACTCATATTTTTATTTTTTTTTATTTTAAGGGTGACATCGACGGATAGTCGACGCGTTGTGTATAATGTATTGGAATATTCGCCGCTTTGCGACTCCAGTAACATGACAATGGACGATTGGATTCGTATCGCCAACGATATCAAGGTAACAATCTACTGCGTGCAGTATGGACATTAATAAGGGGCATATATATGAGACCTAGTCCAAGGACTGTATGCAGATATGTGACAAATAGGTAGACGTATATAAAGGAAACTAGAAAATAAAAATTTCTTTTTTTTTCTAGCAATCCTATGAACATTTCGACGGTTTCGTCGTTTTACACGGAACGGACACGTTAAGTTACACCGCGTCTGCCTTGTCATTCATGCTCGAATCTCTAGGCAAGATAGTTATTTTAACCGGCTCCCAGGTACCGATCTTCGACACGAGAAGCGACGGCCTGGATAATTTCTTGTCGTCTCTAGTAATAGCCGCGAATTATAACATACCGGAAGTCTGCGTATACTTCGGGACAAATCTGATGAGAGGTAATCGTACGAGCAAAGTATCGGCATCGTCGTTCGATGCGTTTCATTCGCCGAATTGTCCTTCTCTGGCGAAGGCTAACATCAAAGTGGAAGGTTAGCAAAGTATGGACCAGGATTCAAAAATAGATCTTCCATTTTATCTTCTTTCTAAACTGTACGACTACATTGTTGCAAGGTATGTTTGCATTGCAGTGGACTATCGAGCAATATTTCGCTCCTGCACCCTGGAGAAATTCTACGTCCATGCATCACTGAACAGGAACGTCGGCTTGCTTCGTATATTTCCTAGCATAACCACGCACCTGGTGAAAGCATTTCTGCAACCCCCGATCGAAGGTGTCGTCTTACAATCGTACGGAGCAGGAAACGTGCCGACGAACCGGGAGGACATAATTAAAGAACTGAGCGCGGCTACGAAACGCGGTATAATCATCGTCAATATCACGCAATGCACGACCGGTTGCGTATCAGACACGTACGAGCCTGGAAAATTACTGGAGGATGCTGGTACAGGAAACTTGATATTTATTGTCAGACACTCTTCCACTATCTTTAAAATAATAATAGAATGCTTCGTATAGGTGTAATATCCGGCTTTGACATGACACCTGAGGCTGCATTGACCAAGCTCGCGTACGTATTATCAAAAAAGGAATGGGATAATGAAACGAAGCGTCAAATGATGCAAACGAATTTGCGCGGAGAGTTAACCGCTGGACGATCACCGTCCCTTCAGGATCTGGATCTCGTCGAGGCGGTCGCGAGATCTTTGAAGCTCTCTTCTACGGCAGAGCTTCAGGAATTAGGCTCCATACTTTTCCCTGCAATGTTAAACGCTGCTGTACTTGGTCGAGACGTAGTCAAACTCGAAGCATTAAAGGAATACGTGAGTGGAATGGAAAAAGGGTTGCACGTGATTTTTCTAACTAATACGTTTTTCCTTTAGGGCGCAGATATCTCCCAGCGAAACGCAGACGGTCGCACCGCGTTGCATATCGCTTGCTGCGAAGGATATCTGAAAGTCGTGCGTTGCTTGCTGCGAATGGGTGCGAATGTGCATATCAAGGATCGTTTCGACCGTACACCTCTTACAGACGCTATCGAATACGACCATCACGAGGTAAATACGATCATCGTCTTGGCGTTTAACGCGTTACCAATCATGTTTAATAATTATCCAGGTCATTAAGGTGCTGATGCAGTGCGGCGCCCACTTGCACGGAAGTGCGCACGTGATAGGAGAAAAGATGTGCGCCGCAGCCGCTGTTGGAAACGTGAAACGTCTCGAGTCTTATCACTTAGCCAACGCGGATCTTTCTCAGAAAGATTTCTCTGGAAGAACACCGTTGCATCTTGCAGCTCTGCACAATAAAGTGCAAGCTGTCAAATTCTTATTGGAACACGGCGCAGAAACGGGCAGCGTTGACAAAATAAATCAATCTCCGTATAACTTAGCTGTAACTGTAGATTCCGTCGAAGCAGCCTCGTTGTTGTTACCTTCTGATGCATCGAATCCATCGGACAAGGTGATGACAAGGAGATGAAACGATGCTCTGTCTGTAGATTTAACACGCGGGATAACGTATTATTATAAAAATAAAACATTTCTTTGTGCCTGGTGCAATAGTACAAAAGTAAGCGTGTCCTTTAAGCGATTGTCCTTGCATTGTACTAGAGAATGTTCTAGTTCGGATGTCGTAGTAACAATTTCATGACGTATACAACATATGTTGTTTTCATATTTTATAATGACAGAGTCGTTTAAACACTTTAGACAATAGTCGACGAAAAGTGAAAGTCTAAAGTGACTGCGATTATGCTTAAACCACGCTGGCGTGCACGCGATAACGTTTCACACCGCGCGAGTTAGGATAATAAGGTATTTCCTTGAAAAAAAAACAGCTCGTCTACGTTCTGAAGTACGAAACAACTTGAAAAGAATTTTTAGCTTTCGTAAAAAGAAATATTCTCTCTTGTATTTGTACGGTAAAATAAAGATTACATTCACGGGTCACACTATACCAAACTCGTTCATCATGATTTTCAAAAGTTTCGGTGATATTACACAGTCCTTGTAAACGCGTGCGCAATCGTTTCCTTTCTGACCGACTGCTATAGCTTCATCAACAATTGTGCCATTTGTGAAATCTTTGAACCATTTGTAACTGTTTTATGCAATTATAAACGTTAGGATTTTTTTGTTTCACATAGAATTGATTATTAATTTCTTTTCTAACGTTACCTTGACAGACCGTCGATTATTTTATCCGTGCCTGTTGGGTTCTCTGCGTGAGTAGCCAGCGAAACGATAGAGCAAACAACTTGTTGCATACAGGGGACCATGTAATTGTTACTGAAAATCATCTCGTTGATGATGTTACCCATTTGGAACCATTGCACGTTGTCCTCGGAACCTGCATGCATTAGACAAAAGATTAAAAATACATTTGTAAATATAGATAGCTGAAAGGATCGCTCACGATAGTGGTGATGTGTATTGTGTTGCGGATGCGTTTTGGAAAATAGCGGTGTGATCACAGTAAGTAGAGTAGTCATCAATCCAACTAATCCAAGAGGTTTTGTATTGACGTTGAGTAAGGAAGGAATTTCTCCGTGTTCGCCTGTTTTGTGATCCAGGGGTATTGAAATGAAGGGAATTGTTACGGCCCAGTCGATCTGGAATGATAACGAAATTATGTAGATTTTGTACGTCCAGTAATGGAATATTTTTAGTAGAATATATCAATGTCTAATAGGCCAATTCATCACTCACGCGAAGCTTCTCTTCTTCAGAATTGAAAGAAATCAATCCGTTACTCGGATGTTTTCCAAATGTTTTACTCTGACCTCTGGAGATCCTTGTTTTTGTATCAGCATTAGGATCAACCGCTTCAGAATGACATAGGATCAAAGTGACCATACACATCATTGTAGTCTTCATGATTTAATTTCTCTAAAACAAAAGAAGAATATACAAAACTGTTTTATTAAGATTATGTTTAACACTTGCAGGTGACTCAACTAATTGGAGCGAACACAGAAGCTCGTCTGACGAATCCTTGATCCTTGCCAGCAGTTTTTGTACGGGGACCAGCCCACCCTCGGCAACTAGGAAATTCTGTTTTCACGAGTGAAATTAACGAACCTAAAAGAAAGACACTTCTGGTTCAATTATCGTTGGGAAATTAGTGCAGCTGTTACGTCTTCCATCGTCACAGGTGAAAATTTTTGCGCACCTCCTACGTCCTTGAATTTTTCATCTTTTATAACTCCAATTCGGACTTTCCTACGTTTAATCTTTGTTTAAGATGAAAGTAATTATTCCATGATATTTCAGGAGTACTGGAAAGAGGTAAATGGATGAGAAACACTGTAGGACATTTTTCAATTTTCTGTGCATTCATATGGGAAGTTTGTTATTGCACGCATACGAGGCCACGACTTTCGTGAATTTTCTAGAGCAACCTCCAGAACGAATTCCTTGTCTGAAATTCAACCAGAGACAAATGCAGAGTCGCAAAACGTACATACGTATCGCATTATGGTTTCATGAAGTTTCTATGGTTTCCTGTTCACCGAGTAAATGCAAAACATTATTCTTATTATATTTAGCATTCTTATCATAATGCAATTATGCTCTCTAATCAGTAAGGATAGTATTTAACGTTAAACTGTTAGGGGTCAATAGTGACCTAAACTTAAAATTTTGGTATATGGAAAAGAATAATGTAGATCTGTAGTTTAAAGAACAAAAGGTTTAGAATTAAATGTGATCCTTGTACCTGTAAATCAGGTAAAATAATAAGGGTAAAATTGTCTCTGTTTTGTCTCTGGCTCTCTATCTAAATGGTTAACAAATCATTTGTAAGGGTTCTTGCGAAATATTTAAAAGAAGTTTCTACGATTTAAGCAGATGCTTGCCTGCACAACAACAATACCCATCGCGAGTGATTCGTGGCGACAGTTTAACGTCCTCCTGTTACTTCAGGAGAGACGAACGAGTCACGCACCCGTGGATGGCGTCCCCATGAAAATCTAACAATGAAAGCGAAACCACCGGCTCCAATTATTGTCCATGGTTTGTCATGTCGTGACCATCGGGAGTAGGTGGACGACTATATATGCCACAAAACCACGTTGTTCTCGTTCAGTTTCTTCAAAACCGATCCACACGACACGCCCTTACAAAAACCATCTGCTTTTCACGTTTATTCAAGGTACACTTTCTTTGCACATTGAAACATTTGTCTCGTTAATAACAGTATTGTTTTTTAACTTATTTTCATAGATGTTGGATTGTCGAGGCATCGTTTTGATCCTGATTTCATCAGCAGTAGTTGTCAGGGGGAATCCAAAGTTTGATGATGGAGGGTAAGAAAGATTTTTAAGTTTATTTAACACGTTGATCAGTTCATTTAAAATTCATTTCCATACTTATTTTATATTAAATTTGTAGCCTTGGTCACCAGTGACCTCCATGATAATCAATGTGTTAATATTCTTAATTAAGCCATAGTATTTCTACTATGACAAAGTGTTAACGTCTTTCATTAAGCTGTACTATTGTGCTCAACGTGTTAATATCTTTATTTAGGTCATACTACTTCTACTGTGCTAGTCAATTTTGAATAAATTGACTAATACAATAATTGTACTACTTTTCAGGTTCGTCCCGAGTTCAATGGTTTATTTGGAGAAGAACGGAAAATCGCAGGATCAAATAGCCATGCCTTCTCAAGTAGAGCTACGAAGCGAGACGTCGACGAAACGAGGTGACACGGAATCCAACAGTATTATGGATCGCAGCCAGGATGCTCGATTTGGTTTCACGAATCTTGGTACCACAGGAAGTGTAAGGCAGTTTCCTTTAATCAAAATTTCTTATCTAAAATCTAGTAAAATGAGAATTTGTACATGTATAGGGTTACGGGGTATCGACTTATGCGCCCACGAAGATAGACTTGGGTGGCCTACTATTAGGCGCCATTATAGGAATAGGTTCCATCCTCATCATTCCTAAATTGCTGTACGTTCTATCTGGAACTTATGGTCATTATGCAAGAAGTGAGTTAAATGAAATGGCATTGCACTCTGAAAGTTTTGAGAATTACAGGTAAACCATACTACTAATGTAATTAATTTCAGGTGAAGACAGCGGCATCACTCAAATTATGACTAAATTAGATGACGTGTTAGCACGTCATGGAATCGACACTACATCCTGCATGCAACGAGCTGTGTGCACGTATTCGCAACAGGCAGCATCGTCCGTCAGAGAAGGGAATCAATTAAACGACGACGAGAAAGTGTCGTCCTTCGATCGCATGATCAACACCGTTACAACGAATCAGATTTTCCGCACCGCTATGGAGGGTACCGCGATAGAAGAAGCTATCGAAGCAGGGAAGAACGGTCGAAGTTGCTCGCGCGCTTATCCCCATTGCGGATTTTCTATGGAGACCATCCTGTCCCTGTTATCAAACGTAATCGCAACTGTCTCCTCGGTTAACACTGAAATCACGAGTCCCACGGGAACTGGAACGTTGTAATTCGTAAAAATCAACGTACAGAAGCATTTTAGTTTAGAATTGAAACGTTGAAAATGTTAAGGAAATGTACAGAAATGTTACTAAGGATACTTGAACGCCATAAAAACGAAACAAGTATTAGATTATTCCATAAGTTCACGTTTCGTTTATGGCTGAAGTAAACGTAGAATTACCCCGGTCCCAACGAAGAGATCTTAGTTGTTAATCGCAGGTGAAACAGTTGCAGGCAACTCGAGAAATTAAAGCACACATGTGTACAATGATTGTTCTTGTATAATTATTATTTCTGTTTCACATCTTACACATGCGCGAAGCAAGAAAAGTGAAATTGTCATCGCGTGAAGCGACGATGTGTCGTTACTCAGCGCACTTTACCGTGTCACGAGACAACTTTCATTCGTTGCGAACACTTGTTTCTTGCAGGATCTTCGTGTAAGATAAATGAGCATAACGATCTCTGCTATCTCGTTGTTTGTTGACGTTAGAACAAGGTAGACGCGGTCTACGACTCCCAATCTGTACACTAATCTTTTACAAATATATAGTTTCCATTTCTTTTCCTTAACCCTTTCACTGCACATCAGTGAATAACTGTAAGAAAAAAAAAACATTCTAAGCAGTATCAATATTATGTTAATTGCATAAGGTAGCAAGTGAATAATTATAATTGTATGCAGTGAAAGGGTTAGAAGCAATCTGCGTGCGAGGTCTTCATTCCTAAGATAAAAGTGAAACGAATTGTCTAAAATTGATATCGTCGCTTGAACGATCGACGTTGAAATTGAAACTTAAGTTCCCAAAAATAGTGAACTCTTGGATTCTTAGATAAATTGTAAAGCACTATGATACATATACATTAGTAAAATGCGATTTTTCCTTTCACAGAAAAATATTCGATAATTTTTTTCACTATCATTCTAACACATGTACGTATTTGGAACATCGTTTGGTCCTTAGCTAGCATTTCAATTATTCGTATTGCATCATGAATATTGATAAGTCGAATAAATAATCTGTTATCTCGAGGTAAACAATTTTTGTGCTAGCTAATTACGCGATTTCGAAGTAATTAATACTGTCGTTACGTTCGTATTGCCTCTTTCGATGCATTTAATTGCTAAAATTCCCCCTATTTATAAACGTCATTCGTTTCTTTTATAAGAATAAGATCCTCTGATTAATTACAATATACATTAAATGTACAATCACCTACGAGCACCGTTAATGTCAACATTCTCGTACTCGTCCCTATGAAATTGACGACGAAGCTTTCGAATTTCTTTCTCTAAAATTCAACAACTTTCACTATAGAGGTACGTTAACATGTTTTACATAACAATCATTTCATGTACTGTCGCTTAGGTAAAAGTAATATGACTCCTATGGCGACGCACACGTGCCAGAGACTGTGAACGATGTAGTAATTCTTTCGCGTTTGTAGGAACGCGTAGCAGACCAGACCGAGGGAGACTAGAAGGAGACCAGCCGGAAAATAAATACTTCTGTGAACATAAATTAACGTCCCATTGTATAACGTACCATATTTCTAACCGTTGAAGGAACCATGCTTACCTATAAGGACGTGATGGATAACGAACGGTGCCTCTCCTCCTGCACCTCAAGCCCCAAGAGAATCCGATCAAAGCGAAGCCGCTTACAGCTGGCAAAAGGAACACCCAGAGGGCTGTGCGGTCCATTTCAGCGCTCATGGCGAGAACAACGGCGCCGGTTATTTGACAAAATGCGGTAAGCTTTGGTCCAAAGGAGGCCATCGCCACCAGGGTCACCCAGATGGACAGGAGGGCGTTGAAGAAGTCACAGAACTGCAACACGCTTAATCTCATTATGCACACGCTGTAAACGTCCTCCCCAGCCTCGCAGGCGTGATAGAACGTGGAGAAGAACATCACGGCCGCGTAAACAATAGCCTCTGTAAAATATTCCCTGCGCACGGCAACGTATATCGAGCCGATGAACGCCAGGTTGCTGAACGTCAGCAACAGGACACGGACGATGATGTCGCTATTGCTGAGGACGTAAGCATCGTCCGCGCAGTCGAATCCTCGGTAAGCGCCTGTACAATGACACGCGGCGAACACGAAGCCTCCGCTCATGTAGTGCATGCACTTTCCTCTCGAATTGCAGCGACCCTCGATGCACGGCGAGGAGGAGATGCGGCTCTCGACCCTGGCGTCGCAAGGACCCATGCAGTCGCAATCATCGCACGCGGTCTCGTTTATACAATTTCTGATGCAGAGACAATTCTCTTCTAAGCAAAATGCCTTCAAGGTAACATGCCATACACCTGGCTCTGGAAACGGTGCGTTAAGGGTGGATGGCCCTGTACTGTTCACATAAATGTCAGCCGTAGTTGTGTTCCCCATACGAGAGCACCCTCCACCGGCAGTGATGTTCGAGTAGTAACCTATTTAAATATATACATATACATGTACGTTTTTGTAATATGCGCAAACTTTACGTTCTCAATCTTCTAACCTAATGAAATACACACGGCTACAACAACGTTCTTCTTCTCCTTCTCTTCGACCAGCTTGAACCCTACGGTCAACGTTCCACCGACGTCGTACACTCGGCCAATCTCAAAACTGAGGACGGACAAGGTATCCGCGGTGAGGTTGAACGCCGAAGGTTTCGTGCTATTCTCTTTCAAATGCTCGTAGTCGAAGAGGAAGAAGTCTGGCAACGATCTCCTCATCAAGTCCACCGTGTTCACTTGACTCGAATCAAGAGGTGTGTCATCGATCAATTGTAGGACCACGTCTGACGATTCTCCGGAGAGCAAACGAAGGGTCACGTAGTGAAGGGCGTCCGAGTAAGGCTTAAAGAACACGCTGGCATTCGTTGAATTTAGGATAGTTCCTGCGAGATGATCATCGGCAGTCACGTGTACCACTATTTTACATTCTTCTCCGCAGCTGGATTTCAAGAGGAGACTGGAATCTATGAATTCGTCGGGCATGAACAGCTGCATCACCGCGGAATCTATGCTTTTGTTCATGTGCACCTTGTGCTCTCCTTTCGGATCCATCGGTAATACTACTAAGGCAGACTCCACGAGTAGTTCAGCATCTAGCACCGTGTCGCAGGACGCACCGAGACCTATGAAGAAAGATATATATTATTAATCTCTCCAGGTACTCCTAATTTGTGGAGGGTCCTGGCGTGTTGGTTAGAGGTCCCGGGGACCTACTCTGGCCCCTGGGCCTAGGCAGACTAGGCGACCGCCTACGGCCCCCATAACACCAGTAAAAGCTTAATTTTGTGTCTAAGAATGCAAGAAATTCACCTTGCTGAGTGATTTTCCCATTGTCAGGATCGCTCCAGGATCGAAAAGCAATGGCGTACCAATCACCCGGCGAAGGTGCTTCAATTTCAATCCTATACTCGTCACCGTTGCTTTCCATATCCAAGGAATAATACCCGCGTCTTCCTTTCATCAGCCTCGCCGCTATCTTCGATCCATCCGGCCGGACAAACGGCAGGCTACCGGATTTTAGAAACAGAGAGACGTTCTTTGCCGCGCATTTACCTATTCCTCCAGTTTTCTCTTCTTTTACAATGAACCTAAAAATGAGATATTAAGAATCGTCTACTTTAGGGACCCTTTTGGATACTTACTTGAACGCAGCCCTGACAGTGGAGTCCGGTATATTGAAGTGGACGATCGAAATATGACGGTAGGCGTGGTAATCGTCGAGGACGTTGTTCGGTTGTTGAGCAATTCGCTCCAGTTTGCCGCATAGTCCTGGTTGTATCGCAAAAAGGATCCATGATAGTGTAAAGACCGCTACGCTGTCTCGCATATTATAAATCCTACGATCCGCCACATAACAAGCCCTTTGTACTTAACAAACTATTCTTGCACCGACGCCTCCTGGAAGAGAAACATTTCATATTTCAAACAATTCAGACCAACGAGCGGATGTATTAACCGCGGTTCAAGATAAGATCGGTGTAACGTTACACGGTCAATGAGGAAATATTCTAATTCGTGGTAATTCGGAGCAGAGGAAATGAAGTAACAGGAGCTACACCTTCGCCGGTCGGCTCTTTACGAGACTCGTTTCAGGCACTTGAAGAAGATTCGCGCAATATTAATGTCGAAATAGGTCGGATTCCATTGTCAATTCGCGCGCTTCCTGCGCTTCGAAGAAGCGATAGCTTATCAGATAAGTTACAGACGGTAGACGGTAGACAAAATCTCGCTGAATTTCTATTCAATCTTGGCAACATTGTGGAGTATCTTAGCTGATCACAAGTGGTCTGTTACTTTGATTGCAATTCTCAAAACATTCAGAGTAACCCTTAAACGATATAACAAATACTTTCTGACACAGTTAGAGCGAGCATGTTTATCAACGGAAAAATAGATTATAGAATGAATATCTGGTGACCCATGAACCGATCACACAAAAATATTATCAGTAAAATCGTTCGGAAGACAAATAAAACAGATGCAGTTTCCTTGAATTCCGATTATTAAACGGAGCCACTTGAAATAAATGAATCTACCTTACAATTGAACCCAGTCTGGTAAATAATGCATGGAAAATTGATTTTCCTATAATACGACCACTTATGAATTGGACGCCAACAGCTAACTATTGCCAGCTTGAATTCGAAACACTTGTCGACGAACGTGTTACAATGGATTTAAATCGGCGTTTGATCCCGTACGAATCATTTGAGGAGTGTATTTCAATTCAAGAATATCGCTGAACGTCTACACGCTCTTTGCAACGAGAGAACAATGCACGGTACATCAATCACTAGTTTCAGAAGTGGAACGAAGAGATTAATTATCGTGATTTACGGGGTAACGCAGCGTGCTCGAATCACGTCGCGTTCAATCTCTTGAAAGAAACTGAAGAAACAAGTTTAAAGTAACCGCACGGTAACGCGGCAATTCACAATGGTACAGTGTTAACATTACTTGCTTGTGTCAAGACACTTACACGTTTGCTTTCTATTAACGTTGTTATGCGAGTTCATAATCATTTCGCACACACAGACACGCGTGTAGAAAAGAGAAGAGGGTCGGAAACGATGCCAGCTCATCAAAGTTTAAGCCACCGATTATCTTCAATCGGTTCAGCAACAAGTGTTCTAAACAATGCGTTCACTTCAAACTTTCAACGAACAGACAAGTTGTCCAGCCAATCGAAGTTAGCGCGCGAATTTCACGTACCATCTTCTGACCCTTTTGCGCCGGCCGGATATTTTCGATAATGTTAGTCAAACGTTGACCAAGTAGACTGGTAGTCGAACAAACTTAACTATTATTCAACACTTGTCGATTAATTTACGTTAGCATAGATTTTCGTAGATTTTCACGATCATATTTTCGCTTCGAGTGATTTAAAAGAACAGAATACAATCTTGAGCGGAAGTTGAAACTTTACTAGAAGCTTATTGCTTTATCGGTGGGCTATGCGATTATTGATAAAATAAATTGTGCTGTTTTTTACGTAGATACAGATATGCGCGAACACGTACCGGGAACTCGTAGGAACACGTGGTCCCTTTAACAGCTATTCCTGATCTCACGTGAGAGAGCGTTCGTGGCCGCTCGACCGACTGAAAATCCCCGGGAGCCGTTTATTGATCGTTCGCCGCAGAAAGATTTTAATTCACCGGTAAACGCGTTCACAACGGTACAACTGGTAGAAACGGTGACGTCAAGCGGCCGCTGAACATTCTAAACTCGTACTTAAATAATCTCGCGAGATAAAACGAGATATCCCAATGAGACAAGATTTCCGTTTAATCAGGCACTTAAAAGTGAATCGAGACGGTGTCGCATCGTCGAGGCGCAGTTCCAACACGTGAGTCGATCAGCTGAGTAGACTGCTCGTTCGAAAGCTTTTAAAGCATTTTCGCCTCGTGGGTGTTTGTACAGCGCTCGTTTCTCATCGGTATACCATAATCCTTTTTCTACGATTTCGAAATTATTCTGGGCAATTGAAATTTCTTATAAAAACATAAAATATCTGAAATAGATATTTAATAATATACAAGTGAAGTTTTATTAAAAATTTCGTTATATTTATAAAAGATGTATAAAAAATTGATATGTACAAATTATGTTCTCTTTAAGAAAACTTATAAATAGATCTATGATACCTTGTTACTTGAAACATTCTACTTGCTTAACAAAAGTACTTTGTTAAAATTCCCAAGTATCCATCCATCTTAGAGAATGCATTGGATTGTCAGGGTCTGACGAAGAGGGACCTACCATACCATAAGCCAATGGAGAAAATAAATAAAAACTGAAACAAAACGCATAATGTAAAATTTTGTCATTAAATTTACTAATGAAGATTCATTTAATTGCTCGTACCTATATACAGTACTTGAAATAACAATACCCACTATTGTATGATAAAAAACATTTCCAATTCTATTTGGAAATAAAATAAGTAAACTGTCGATAACATAATTCAGAGTTATTCCAGTTAACATTGAACTATACAGTAAAGCTGGGAAATAATGATGGAAATATAAAACTCTACTCATTGCCCAAAATGGTGCATAATGCAATATCCAGCCAATGAAGAGCCATTTTCCTGCATTTACTATCCTATTCCTTTGTTCAAGGACAGCAGGACTTTCCGCGCAACCACGTTGTTGCCGTACACATGCATGAATATATAATATAATAAAAAGTATTAAGAATACGATATTACTCCACCATATAATCGGATTACCGAGTAAATATATTCTTAAATCACTGCCAGAAAAAAACTGACCCTGAAATGTTCGATTTTGATTATGTTTTACTGGTTGTGTCTTTTATAGCTGTAAGACTTACCCTATAATTAATGGGCCACTGCCAAGGGCGCGACGATACTTCTCCTTCCTTTACTTTCAAATCTGAATTTCCTTGCAACATGACTGCATGCGACTCGAAAAATCTATCCAGAAATCCTGGCGCATATACTTGGAAACTAACGTTTGGTACTATCAAAAGACATTAATAAATATGCATTATAAAACATTGAGGAATTATGAATATCAAAATACTAACACTTTGCATAGTTATTATCTTCAATGTTCCATAGCGCATTTTTATCTCTCATGTTAGGGTTACAAGAGACTTCTTGTTGACTGTATGCCCTATAGATTACACACAAAAATTACAGCAGTTTTAAAATATTATTTCATTTTCTTCTGTTTCGAAATTTATAAGACATTACAGCTAACCATTTAGGTAATGTTTTGCCGCTACACGTTAGAACGCAATGATGTAGATAGTGCACAAACTTTAATTTACTTGTTACCGTTTCGATCACATCACCATCTTTACCGTTTATTATCATGATTTTCCATACATCATTAGCATCGCCAGTACCATTCTAAAAATACAATCATATAATGTTATAATAGAATATAGCAGTAAATGACTTTGTCTTACCTCACCATATCCAGTAACTTGATAGTGTTTCTTAGAAATAGGCGCAATTTCCTTATGTGAATGTAAATTACGTCGTGTAATAACATGCTCTAAGCGTATGAGATCACCGTGTCTTACTAATACTGGTTCCGGTGGAATATCGTCAGTATCAAATTTTTTTACCAACCATAAATTATTATCATCTTTATGCGAATAAGTTGTGATCTAAAGAAAAAACTACATTATAGTATTCTATTCACATATATTGTAAAAATATATGAAATAAATAGATTAATACTTGTTGCTGTCTAGCTCCAACACCCTCAGGATAAAGATGCCAGTGAGAATGTAAATATCCACCACCAGTACGGTGATTTTTTAACGTAACTGTAGCCCCATAAGCCAATTGCCGTGGCATGGTTGCATTGTACAATGAATTTCCTTCTAATAAGGACTGGAATTCAGAACTATAAAATCCATCTCCACTTCCACTAAAATGTTTCAAATTAATGTGATATGTACTTAAAATATACAGTATTATTATATATAAGTAATTTGTTTACCTTTTATTTAAAACAGTAAGATGGATGTAAAAGAATAACATGTATAACAATATCGGTAATAAAATCAGACAAATACATCGCGCTAATAAATGCTTCGCTACATACGTCTGTAATAAGTGAATATGTGTAAATGCATGCTTAAAATAATCATTTTGGAAATAACCAGTTTGAAAAACTTACAATAGGTTTTGTAAGATCTCCTAATTCTCTCCATAATTCAAAAGCGGTATAAAGTCCAACCAAAAGTACGACAAATAAACCAACAAATTTTACACTAATTGTACATGCAAGTGAAATTCCTGTGAATGATAACCAACCCCACCATTTCCACGTGAATGGTTCGTCACGAAGTGAACCAGTATGAGCCATTCCCCAAGTTGCACACATCATGAAGCATAAGAGTATGGGATCCAATAAAATATATTGGTTCAATGTCAGTAGCCCCACATCTGAAATGCATGATTATTGATAAGCATATATCTTTTTTACAAATCATTAAAGCACTGAAAACATAACATATGTACCAAACAAGATAAATAATGCAGAAAATACAGCTGCCTTAACAGATTTTGTCAAGTCCCATACAATGAGATAAGATAAAGGGACAATAGATGCACCTAAACACGTACAAAACTAAAACATATAAACATCTAGATTAAATTCTATACCATGATATGTGAATACCTTTTATTAATTTTAAAAGGAACTTACTATTCTCATACCAATATATTTAACATTTTCAAATTTATCCCCTGGTTTCTCAAAGGGAAATGTTCCATCATATCCAGTTAAATAACCAGACAACGCTATTAACATCTAAAAATTGATAGTGTTAATTCTTAATATGCATAAATTTCTTCTCATATTATTTACCTTCCCAAGTGGAGGATGAACATCAAAAAAGAATGTTCTATTTATGTACCAACTTCCCATCTTACCAAAATGAGTCTCATCCCAACTAAAACATTAAAAGCTTATAGAAATCATCTATACATTTATAACATACCATTATAATATTTTTACAAATATCTTACCAAACATGCTGGGGCTCTGCAACTTTATAAAATCTTGTTCCTGCTGTTAGTATTATAATAGTTCCAAATAGTAGCCACCAACTTCTATATAAACATATTAATAGAATTGCATTATTATCAGAAAATATACATATATGAGATAAATTAAAATATAATTATACATACAAATCTGTCCTTTTCTGTGTTTCTTTATTTGATTGCTGCTTGTGTAAATGTTCATTTTTTATTTTGTGAATACTTTCTGAATTAGTTGCACCCTTCATACTGTCTTCTATTTTTAATTTTATAACCACTTAGGTTACTCAGTATTATATACCGTTGAACGAATAAAATAAAATCAAGGTAAACAATTGTTCTAACAATGTAAAATATTTGAATAATATGCTACAACAACAGAACCGTATTGCTTAACCAGTTCCCAATTCTTCAGGATACATTCGAAGAAGTACCGCTATTGCGTTACAGGTATGTACACTTACAAAATGAACCCTCCTTACTCAAGTTTCTGATTTATTTTTGGTATCATGCAAATTTAATATTCATAATAAATGTATAAAGTTCACCCAAAGTATATTGTATTTACTTGTTGGTCAACATTTTGATTGTTACTAAACAATAGTTTCATTTCAGACTCCATTCAGACTAATTCAGACTGCTTGCAAGGTAAAATATGTATACCGCAGTTCACCAGAGTCCATAACTGCGAAAAGACCAGTTTTCGTTCTTCGCGCTTCTCCAGTACGCATCTTCGCCCTGATTGGCGATACTCCCAAACGAAGTGGAAAGCGATTAGCAGAGAGCTCGCTGTGTTCCCCCACCATCTTCCAACATGCGGTCGCAGTTATGGACTCTGGTGAACTCAGGTGAACTGCGGTATATAGCACGTGGAGATTCTAAGAAATAGGAATGTATTGTTTTAATTATTGAAAAAGGGACAAGAAAAACTTGAAAGGTATACAATAATAATTATATAATCGTTATAAATGAAAATACAGTTTTATATATATTATTTAACGTTGTATGATAAGTGTATTTAGTATTGTTTTTAGACGTAAATATTCCGGTGAAATGGATTATTTGAATCTTTTTAATGCAAACGCTACATTTAAAAGAAAAATACTGCCAGGACCAACGAGTCGAAGGCAGTTACCAAACGATATGTCGTTATTAGATGCAAAATTAAACGTGAATATAAAGCATATAGAGAGCGGAACAGATTATGTAAAGGAATATGTACAAAAAGAGGAAGATGAACTTTTGGAGGTATATTAATTTGCAGCTGAAATAAAATTTGATGGAACCTTTTTCTATTTAACTTTATGTATTTTTAGTCAGCAAGCTACTATAATGCAAATAATCAGAACAACCTAGAACTTATATCACAAGGTACAGCAGCTGTGCAAGATACAAATATTGAAGAAACAATGAAGATTTATTCCACTTATGATTTTGCTTACCGCCCAAAGCCTGGTTTAACAATTAATGCTAATAAAAATCAAATAACATCTATGATTGATACAAATTCAGTAGTAGTGATTCAAGGTCCAACAGGTTGTGGTAAAACTACACAGGTGCCACAATTTATTCTAGATTCCTGTTATAAAAAGAAGCTTCACTGCAACATTATAGGTAACTAATTGCATTTATAAGAATGTTTAATTTTGTTTAAATAAAATTTTCACATGTACCATTGTATTTTATAGTCACACAGCCTAGAAGACTTGCTGCTATAAGCATTGCAAAACGTGTTAGTCAGGAAAGAGACTGGCCAGTAGGCAGTCTTGTTGGATATCAAGTGGGATTGATAAATCATACCAGTAAAGATACACGTTTGACATATTGTACTACTGGTGTTCTTCTACATAAATTAATAAATGCAAAAAATATGTTAGAATATACCCATGTGATACTTGATGAAGTTCATGAAAGAGATCAAGATATGGATTTTCTACTGCTTCTTGTTCGAAAATTATTACGCACGAATTCACGTTCGGTGAAAGTAATTCTAATGTCTGCCACATTTGAAGTAGACAGATTTGCCAAATATTTTTCCTCACCTGTTGGAAACAAACTTGCATCTGCACCTATTGTTGATATCGCTAAGAAAAGTTATTTTAATATTACTTCTTATTACCTTTGCCAGATGGATGGATTAGGGCTGGTAAATACTTCATATAATTATTGAGTATAATCATATTTTTAATTCAATAAATTTCAGTGTATTTATGTTTTATTACAGTTGCCTCAAGTTTCTGCTACTGAACCAAGTGTTTCGATCAAAATGTTGGAATTTTGTGTTAATCTAATAAAAGTTCTTGACGACGTGGATCTGAAAGCTGATGATGCGAATTATGATCCAGAAACAAATACTTATGAAAGACACGTGATCCTGATATTTTTACCAGGTATCCACGAAATCGAAGAGATGCATAATATATTATCACTGCCGAAACATGAAAAAGCTAAATGGGATATAGTAATATTGCATTCATCGATTACAAATGAAGAACAGCAACGAATTTTTATAAAACCTCCTCGTGGTTACCGTCGTATTATTTTATCTACAAACATTGCTGAGAGTAGTGTTACAGTGCCTGATGTAAAATATGTAATCGATTTCTGTTTAACGAAACAACTTATCATCGATCCAAAAACGAATTTTCAATGCTTAGAATTAAAATGGGCAAGCAAGGTAAATTGTGAACAGAGAGCGGGTCGTACAGGTCGAGTAATGGATGGAAGAGTATACAGATTGGTACCAGAAGCATTTTATGAAACCGTATTGCCCCGAGAAGCGTCTCCCGAAATGTTACGTTCACCGTTGGAATCTTTAGTCCTAAAAGCGAAGTTGTTAGATATGGGAGAACCCAAAGCAATTTTAGCGCTTTCTCTTGATCCACCCGATCTTAGTAATTTAGAAAGGACAATATTACTATTGAAAGAAGCAGGCGCATTGCTTAACAAAGTCGACGAAATTCAACACCTTGATGGAGAACTAACAGATCTTGGTCGAATCATGGCGAATTTGCCAGTGAACATTAATCTGGCAAAATTAATGATGTTGGGTCATGTCTTCAGCGTTTTGAAAGATACGATCATTATTGCAGCTAGTCTAACTGTAAAAGATCTATTTAGCAGTCCCTTTCAACAGAAATTACTGGCATACGACGCTAGACTCAATTGGTCTGCTAATTCTTGCAGCGATTGCGTCGCATTTATGACTGTTTATAAAGTATGGATCAGCGAAAAAGCAAATCGTCGAATAAACAACGATGCCGCGGAAAAGAAATGGGCATGGAGAAATTTTGTACAGATAAGAGTATTGCGTGAAGTCAAAGCGCTTGTTACAGAATTAACTATGAGATTAGAAAAGATGGGAATCCAAGAAAGCGTCGGACTCAACAAAGTTGTTTGGAAAGAAACAGAAAAGCCGTTCGTTTTGAAGATTGCAATTGCTGGTGCATTTTATCCGAACTATTTTCTAAAACATAATCCTGAGGGACAGTTAAGCGAATATAATGGAACAAAAATGTTAGGTGGTTTAGATCCATCGAAAACGGTATATTTACAAGGTTGGCCATTAAGACAACCTGGGCTTTTATATGCTCGTAGAATTCAAAGTATATTCGCAGATAACTTAGTGACCTCTGCTGAAAAGATCAGGGTATCTTTTGATTCATCCAGTCGAGTATATGTTCAATTTGTTAATGATGAAGTGGCTAAAACTCCTCAATACAACATGACAAAGAGAATATCTCCTTTTGTTTACAAAGCTGTCAGAATGAGGCAGTGTAATATTCCTATAGAAATACCTGTTTTATACGAGGATGTAGCCGAGCAACAAGCTGAAGAAATGAACTTAGTTAGAAAATCATATTTTACATGTGAAAATTTTGTCAAAGATAAAAATAAACCAGTATTGCCGAGTATACGAGTATCTCGTATTCCAATAGTGATGCAGCATGTAGGTATTCTTAACGAAACTGTATCTTAATACTTTATTAAATTAATAATTAAATTTTCAGGTAAAGGATCCTGGTCGTTTCTGGGTACAGATGTATGATTCTTCGATAAAGTATAAACTAAATGCTATAAACTCAACAATCTACAAAAAGCATAATTTAGAAACACTCACAGAAGCCCCAGAAACCGGCACGATTGTGATTGCACCATATGAACAAAATAATTGCAAATCATATTTTCGGGCGGTAGTTGAAGGACATGTAACATCACCAGAAATACTGGTCCAATTATTTTTCATTGATTATGGTTACTCGAGTGAATGTCGATTATGTGATTTGAGACGTCTAAGAGACAATAGCGACATCGCTGATATTCCAGCACTGGCCATGGAATGTGTGTTAACCCAAGTTCGGCCATCCATAGCGCGTACTTTAAGTGACGAGTGGTCAGAAGCTGCATCGAGTCTCTTCTGGGTATTAGTTAACAAACCAGGTCGACTACATGGTAACATTTATTCCATTGTTAATTGCGTTATTTCATTGGAACTTATACATGTGAACGAAAAAGAAGAAGAAACTAATATCAATCAGTGTCTCATTGACAAGGGATTTGCAATAAGAAAAGAAGAAGACTACTTTTCACGTTTCAATCATAATCTAAGAATTCAACACGAAGATATGGTGGACCAACAATGTTATCACTATGAAAAATTACAATACGATCAAGATTTCATGCCATCGATTTATCCGGAACCACCTTCATTTAATGATTGTCATTCAACGGTGGCTTTACGGGGTCCATTTTCACCCCTAGAAATTGAATTAACTCATCTTACTATGGCTGGTAGAAATAAAAGGATAAAGATGGCTGTAAATTCTGTAAATTCTGTTCTTTTGGACACTGATCCGGAGGATGTCTTTCAGCGACTTTTAGTGGCTGGGTCTGTGTCACAAAATGCAAGTGGCACTAATTTGACATTGTTTAATACAACACTGATGCCACGACTTCCTGGATTGACTGCTCTGATGGTATTAATTTTCACACCGTACATGGAATTGCGACGAAACAGTTTCGGAACTTACTACATTGGTGCATTATGCGGATTAGGGTCTGAACCAAATACCAAGAGAAGTATTTTTCCAGAACACGATATAGAGCTTCAATTTGATGCTGAAATTACCATTGATGATCTACAACTTGTAAGTATGCTATGCAAAATGTGTTTTTTTTTTTTTTAAATTTAAGTAGACTTTAATTGTTTTTCTGGCGCCCTTTGCTAGATAAATAGACTGCGTCATTGGATGAACATTGGAATACAAATTAACCAGCATCATGAAAGCAGTGATAATATGGAAGAAATGATTATCTGTCAAAACAGAATTAAAGATGCATTACTGAAATTAATTGAGAAACAAAGGAAACCACGAACTTCCGAATTAATCAATCATTTTGATAAATGGAACTTGTACGACGAATCTCTGCTTCTTCAACCTAGTAAGCAATATATGGTCAAGAATAACATTTATAGATTACATAGTGCATTGGACTTGGAAGAAACGAATGAACTACAAGAACTTACGGAACACGTGAAACATTTACGATCATTAACAATTGAGTAAGTAAACTATTAAAATATGAAGATCTGTTCAACTTATTCTGATTAATTTATATTGTTTTTTGTTTAATAGGGATCCCAGAAAGCCTGAAAATACTGAAATTTGTTGTAAATTATGCAAAGTTACGATAGTTGACATTTTTGATCTTCGTGGACATTTGTACTCTAAGAAACACAGACAGAACGAGGAAACGTTAGGAATTAAAGTTTAAATCATAACATAAAGGCAAAGAACATCTAGTGTAATGTTGGAGGAAAGTATTAGTATTATTATTATTAACTGACAGTTACTTTATACAATTGACCGATATTAAGAAACACTAGGTAAATAAGAGTGATATTTAATTTTGTTTACATATTTTTGTTGTTCGTGAGAATTTACGTGAACTTTAGTTTCCTATTAAGTGACATTGTCATTTAAACTAGCTTTATAAAATCATTGGTGGTATATTTTTATTTAACTACATAGGATATTTATCTAATCCGAAAGATATATAAATAAAACTGTTACATTTATTAATAAATAAATGTAATATATCTACATATTTCATATTTATACATAGCGTATACGACGTTCATTTAGATACATATAAAATACGCTTTTTTTTACAGTTTATTAAGTGAACCTGATAAACAGCTTTAGTTATATTTTTATAAACGTTTTGATACGACTGATTGTGATTATAAAATATATATGACGTTCAGAATACCTCAACTTAAATGATTATAAATTAATATTTTATACTTCTCTCTGAAGATAACGCGCACCGGGCTGAGTGTATAACAATCGGCCAGGAACATTAGCACCGGATGCGCTAACGTACGTACCTGGCGGTGGGGGTGGGTATGGAGCAGGTGGTGGTTGCGGTGCTCTCACCGGATATCCTGATGTAATTCCTCCGGTTTTTGCACCCTTTTCACAACAAATACCGTAGTATGCAACCATAAATATCGTAATATACATATATTTAAATACAAGTGGATACCTGTGGTGGTTGTTGAATTGGAATAGCTCCACCATGAACAGTAACATGGCTACTTGGCCGCAAATAAAATTTATCTTCTCCATAGGCACCTTTATGATCCAATGAATGTAAACTTGTCACATAAGCTAACAGAAAATTATTATAATGTATTTGTTATGGTATGAGTTTGAAGTAGATTAAGATACGATGTACCTGTTTGATGCGTTGACAATGTTCTGTTACCCGAAAGGTATACAGATTTCGCAGGTTCAGGTTCTCGAGACTGTTGCGAAGTCGGCGCAGAGTAACTATACACGCTTTGACCAGTAGGGGTCGAGTAAAAATTGGATGCAGAATACTGATTATTTTCTGCAAGATAATACACCATGAATTAATTGTTAGCGAGCGATGCAAATGTTATCAATCGATGATTTTTTTTAAAGAGAGAGCATGGAAATTAAAGAAGGTTTATTCACTCACTGTTCCAGAGAACAGCTCGGGAATCGCCAGATCTCCTAGCTGCTTCCTCAGATTCTATAGAAGCACAAATATCTACGTTTAATGCTGTCTTTTTTCCATATAACCATTTTAAGTCCATAACTGCCACATCTGTATATACTTACTGGAAGGTGGAGGATTATAACTTGGAATTGGTGTTGGTTTGTACCCATAGCCAGCATGGTATGGAGAAGCTGGTGGTGGTGGTGAAGGACTATGCGTTCTTTTTAATGGTCCCTAAGAAGAAACACTATAAAGTACCTTGGTTTTACACAGATATATAAGTTCAGCTTACAGTTGGTAATAAAGTATGTGTTGGTGCACCAACAGCAACTTTATAAAGTGGACTACTACTTCTTGGTAGTGGAAGGAATAACTGTGGATGAACTACTCTGGGACCTGTTCCAGGATATCCTCCTACTGCTGTTAAAACTTCAGAGCAAACACTGCACAATAAAACTATATGATTATGACATATTATTGAATTGCATATTTTGAATTTTAAGAAGTATATGAACCTTGTTTCTTTAATTAACTGCCGTCTTCTGTTATCATCTTCGTTTAAAACTTTTTTCAATTGTAAAAATAACTGATGTTTTTCATCTTTCAACTGTGACAGTTCATTCTCAAGATTTGAAATCTGTTCTCTGGTTTCACCTAAAGTCATTACATCTTGTTTCTGTTGTCGCTCCCTTTCTTTTCTTTGCCGTTCTTCTTCTGCATCTGCTTCTTGTTCTAAGTAAATAATTTATATACCTTGAATGGTTGAAATAAAAATGAGAGTTCGATGAAAATGATGTAAAATAGGTTACCTTGTTTCTTTCGTTGTCTTTCTCTTGTAATGTGAGCTTTTAATGCTTGCCACATTTGTTCACTCCGTTGAGGAGGACCTACAATTACTGCTGGCATTTTTATTTCTTTCTTTGCTAAATTCAGACTTTAAAATAACTTTTTACACTGTAATGTTGAATTCTCTCTACATCTGCATATATGTATACCGCAGTTCACCAGAGTCCATAACTGCGACGCGCAGGTTGGAAGATGGTGGGGGAACGCAGCGAGCTCTCTGCTAATCGCTTTCCACTTCGTTTGGGAGTATCGCCAATCAGGGCGAAGATGCGTACTGGAGATGCGCAAAGAACGAAAACTGGTCTTTTCGCAATTATGGACTCTGATGAACTGCGGTATATATGTACATCTTGAGGCGATGCAAGCGTCGAGGCCGAACTCCGAATTCCGCGTCGGTAAAGCAGTCGAACAGTGGAAAACGAATGAACTGTGCCCTATAGAAAAAACGAGGAACTAAATTTGTGGTCTGTTTTACCTTTTTGACGTCTTTTTTCAGTGAAAAATTAACGAAATCGTAGTTCTCACTATTTTTCTAAACGGAGGCTTGTACATCATCCCCTGAGTGCTTGTTTTGCTCTATCTGACCCGAAGAATGGCTTTCTGGTATCCATTTGGACATACGATTCGCAGAAATGTTTATATTACGAATAAATTAACGCAGATGAGACGGGATCCGCCATTTTCCTGACCGTTGACAGACATCAATTTCAATATTTTATAATTTTTTGACTATTTGGGTAATATAAAGACCAGATTATCATTTTTTTAGGGCCTTTTGAACATGTCCCTCAAATTTCTTTGCAATCTGTTCAATAATGACGACGTAATTTTAGAACTCGTTTCTAGGGATTTTTCTAGGGATTGTCAATAAAGTTTTCAACGTTTGCATCACCTTAAGGCACGTTCATAGACATGGAAGTAGGGAATAATGAACAACGCTGTATGAATGAGAAACAGCAATTAAATAGTTTCGGATGTTTTTTAGTCATTAATTTTAAATATTATTGATAGTATGATCGCTTAAATATAAATTTAAATATTCCTAATAAAAAAATAATAATAAAATAACAAATGATAAAGATTTGTAAAGTAGCGCGATCTAGAACGTTCGTACGTAGTCGTGTTTGATCGGCAATCTCCGGCCGATGATTGCCGAGTGCACATTACTATTTTCAGGCACACAAGGCACCTCTTGACGGGTTTTCAATAAGTGAAGAGGGCGACGGTGCAAAGATCCTTTTTTCTTTTTCATTTAAATTTTACGTACGGTAGATGCCGAAATTGTAGTGGCTTGTGTTGCACGTAATAAAACGTACGATGCTGGAAGACGTCTCGGCAGGGCTTAATGCCTGACGGTCTGTCGGTCGTTTCGGCAAAAATGAAAGAAGCTCGTCGGTCCGAGCAGCTGATGGCGGCCGAGAGCTGTTCAAGCCTCTGTGTCCCCCATCGCGGCGTTTAAATGAGTGTGTGCGTTTAACTGATCGAACGAAGTTCGGCTACCACTTACGGAAACAAGATAAATCCTGTGGAAGATAGATTTCGCGCGGCGAGAGACCGCCTGCAGACGAGCTACGAGGTATTTCGTAACGGTGCTTCTTTAGCGACTCGGTACCCGACACGCAAGCACGGTGGAGTAAGCCTGCCAGCCGTTCACGGTCTCTGGTGCTGTGAATCATATATTTCGTTTGAACCGAAAAAACTGAAGGATAACGAAGCTACAAATAAAGGCACCGGTGGTTTCAGGTAACGTGTAATCCACATACGATCAAGGAACGACACGGTGCCGCTTCTGTGTTGCACAGTGTAGGTGGGAGATTCGACGTACGACGGGGCGTGCGTTCGCGTGTGACAACGCCTAACAAGCGATCGCGCCCCTTTTCTCGGCCGATACATAAACGAGTCGGCAATTTCTTCCGAAAATTTAATCAATTTGTGAACTCGGTGGATCTGCTCGATTGACAAGCATTCTCTATTAGCACGCTGCCCTATTACACGGAAAAGCTCCTCGTGCTATGCACGCATCACTATCAATTTTCACCCCTCTCTGCCACAGGAACATCTGAACAGTAGGTTACCGTGATTCCAAACACACCACGTGCGCTTTGTAATCGTGTAGTGCTACTTTGTCCTTGTGAGTGTAGTGCGTTCATCCTCGTCGACGCGGAATGCGGCTTCCTCGGGGTGGACGCAATCTTTAGTCGCGTCCAACGCCGGAAAAGTGCAGCCGAGGCACGAAAGTACCTCCAGTGTTCCACTTCCCTCCAGTTCTCACAGTGCCTCTGTTAATCTCAACATGTCGTCAGGGACTTTTGTGGACCGGATAGATCCCTTCGCCAAGAGATCTCTCAAGAAAAAAAACAAAAAATCACAGGGCTCATCACGATACCGTAACTCCCAAGATGTTGAGCTTCAGCAGTTACCGCAGCTCAAAGGTTAGTTATAACTCCATAACTTACATTTATTCTTCTCGCTATTACATTTTCAATAATAACATCAGAAATATAATAATGACTCGTATAGCAATAGAATTTATGAAAATAGATATTTTCTTTGCTTTATTCTTTTTCAAACCTTATAGGTTTTTAAATAACAACAGTAATAGCTTGCAGTGATCATTTTTTTGTACAGCTATACTTGAACCACAAAGTATGTGGTTCAAGTATGACAAATAATAGTATTTGGATTATAATTTGTCTAGTACTTATTGTTTTTATATTTTTATCACACTTATGATTCATTGTTCTTATATAATAGAATGAATATTTCATTTGAACTAGTATATCAAAATAAATTTATTTAATGACACCAAAATGTGAGAATTTGAACTGTCTGCTTCTTGATATCATTAGGTTCAAACATTATTGAATTTGTATAGCTAATAACTCATTTATTCTTTTTGTATCGAGCAATCATAATGTACAAATGAAATGGAACTGTCTGTGGTAGTAAACAAAGTTACTAAGTAATATGTTAATGATTCCAATACTGATTTATTTTCAGTCTTGATATAAATTTCATGAACATATTCAGCAAAATGCAATTCTAATATTAATATATCTTCAATAATAATGGATGAAGTGTATAATTAATATGAGTTTCATGTAATTTTCACGAATTATACATTAGATTGCTCGATACATATAGATAGGTCTACAGTTGCCGAAGCTAACCTCAAAATATCTAAGGGGAAAGCGTGTTCGAATTGAGCATGAAATCTTATTGTTTCTTTCTAAATACTTGATACAATCATGATATGGGATGACAAAAATTGAGATTTATCGAATATTTCGAGAAGATAAGTTTTAATTCTATGAATACGTGTCCAGCGTACTTCGTATTGACGTATGTTCTGAAAATCGATGAGAACAGCAAAGCAGAGGTCAGTTCGCGTTACTCGACTGATTTTTCTGCGATATAAATTTTAAGCGCTATCAATAATCATAACACGAAAGATAAAAAAAGATGTTAAGTTTTTTTATACATTTTTCAAAATAATTAAGTTTATTTTATGCGCATAATACATGTGTGCATGACTATGTGCGAATTGAAAACTGGAATTTATATCGGTGCTTGCACATTTCTGTTACGCCATGTGCGTGTCATTTTACGTCACGTATTTCTATTACCCCTGTCAGGGATTTTATTTTGTCGATTTATACATCCCTCTGGGTTGACAACAATCTGACAATATCCGTAAAATCAGATTATCCGTGGAATTCTGATTCTGTTCTTGTTGATTAGGCCGTTCCCCTGTCGCCCGTCCTTCAAATCACTCTTACATAACCTCTACAAGCTTATTATCTCTTGCAGTTGGAAGTTGGTTATACGGGATTAATTGTTCGTTTTGAAAAAGAACCGTTGCATATACCGTTGAAATAACAGTTTTTTAATTAACCAAGTATCCGTTTGAATGTTTGAAGATAAATCAACTACATATTCAGAAGTTCAACGTTATTCTTTCATTTTTTTAAGTAAAGATACTTGAGCATTGATATAATTTAAAGATGGAGGACCGTTTTATCAGTTTGTTGCGATTATTTTTATTAAAATCATGAGATTTGATTCGAAAGAAACGTTTGTAAGGGGGATCATACTATGACGCGTTAGCGTGTCGTCGGATCAATCTTGACTCAACGAATTTACACTATTTTCGTATGGGAGGTGGTGCTTGAAAACAGTATACATATAGTGACCTATAAACTCGCGGCACGTTCCAACGTCGAGCGGTTATGCGAAATACAGGCATCCACCTTGCAGTAGGCAGTGTCGTTCACCTCTGCCAATAAAACAGCAGTGGTAGTCCTTAGTCTCTCCTTCCCTTATACACTGTCGTCTTCTCCGCTTCTCTCCTTCTCCTCTTCTCCTTCTTGTTCCTGTCTCTTTATTTCTACATTAGTTTCTTCGTCGTCTCGTACCCGTACGCCGCGTACATAACCTTTACGCACGTGTTTTCAACTCGAGCGTCGTCTACGTGCATTTACGTATCGACACGCGACGTCACGTGTTTCATGGAAAAGTAACTTTCGATTATAAATGAAAAGTAGAGAACAAGGCTCGTGCTCTTGACAAAAAATATTGTAGCCCTTTTCCTAAAACGTTCAGTAACGTTTGATATCTCCTTATCAAACGTCGGTAATCGTTTAGGGATACCCAAACTCTTAGTTACTAGAAAAAATTACTAGGAGCTTATTAAAAAAATATTATCAATTCTTCGATCTGTTAATGAAACGATAAAAAATAAAAGAAACGCCATTCTTTGCGATAGCTCGTGATATCTCGGTAGAAGGGTCAAACGCGTGTAATCCTGGTTTCATGCAGGATTTATGTACTGCATAGAGTCTGCGGCATAAGACCAAAGCAAGGAAATATATTTCGGGCTGGTTACGTACACGAAGGAACTCGTACCAACGATTGCGGTGCTCGAGATGATTTTCAGAGACAGAACGCTGCAGAGAGTCCTTCGTACGGATATCAGGTCAATTGTGACCCAGACCTACGAGAATTGATTACCTTTTGTTCCGTAGGTGTAAGGTTACACGGAAAGATCATAGTACTCGATTCACAACGATACAGAGACAGTGACGTGTTTAAAATCGCGTTTAGATAATAATACGAGCATTTCGTCTCTGCTCTGCAGAGCCAGCCTACGAATAAGACTTATTTAGAAACACGTAGGTGTGCGCCCGGTGTCTGCCTACGTTTCGCGATCACCCAGCCGAAGTACCTTGGAAGTTTTAATCGTCTGTGTTGTAAAGTAGGAGGAAAACTTTTATGTTTTCGATCAACAAACGCCTTATCCTTTGATTAGATTTTCATTGTGACCCGTGTTTTCAAGTTTTTTTTGTTTCAAGTATATATACAGGGGAAAAAGATTGTTACGAATGGTGCTTGAAGAAAGTAATTTTATATTATCAAATTATCTGAAATTAGAAAATTAAAAAAGATTATTCTTTAAGTGATCTGATTAAGTTAGATTCTTTTATTAGATATCACGTGTTTTGAAGTATAGAAAAAAATTCTTCCTAGAATTACTTGAGCGCGTCACGTGACATTCATGAACCGAAATTCCCTAAACTCATGCTCCGAATCGAAGGATCACGGTTATCGATATTACGTACGGTATTCGATGGATCGTCTCGGAACTCACGATCGAGACGTATCGTTATCTGTTCGTGCTGTATCACCGAATGTTACAACAGGCCAGTACGATCCTCGGTAATCGGTTGCTGACAGATACGAAGCCTCAGATTTATCATCGAGCAGAAAACAAACTGTTCGCGCGTACCGTGAGCAACGGTATAACATGTGTATGATTTTTCTTGCGATTACTACCTGCCCATCACTTGCTCGCTTATCATCACGTCAATGTTAATAAATCCTCATATTTTTTTTTGCATAAAACGAATCGTTTGTTACGCCACCTTTTGACTGATTCTTTCTCTCAGCGATCGATTACCTAACGCATCCTCTTATGCTCTAACTGTTAGAGTCTAACAAGGGGAACGTACGGCCGTGAACTAACCGATTCGGCTTTAAACTTTGCGTAATTACAAAGAATATCAGTCATAACAATTTTACAATCTCAGAATGCACAATTCTAAAAAAGTTAAAGAAAAATTTACATTCAATATTTTTTAATATATATTTGAGATTGCATTCCAGTAGGTTTCCAAAGGTTGACTTGCGATACTCTATACATTAATTCGCAATAATAAGTTGCATTCGTTGGCAGATTGGTTCTAATGTACAGAATAAATGGATCGCAGAAGGGTTAAAGGGGAATCGGCAGTTAGCGCGTCTTGTATCGCAGTTGAGAAATCTGTTTAAACTCGATGACGCGGCTAGGGTATTATTCCTACTTTTATTTGGTAATAATATTTTCTACTCTTGAGCTACTCGAGGCACTTAAAATACGTTTTAGATATTTTTCTCAACGATATCGATAAGTCATATTAATAATCAGATTCGAAGTAGACGAATGCATGCAGAATTGCTCTTACGGCACGCGTGTACCCTCCAGCGACGATCAGTCGCTACTAGCGAACGTTTTTCCACTTGTCGCGCACGAAATTGGACTAATTTCGTACACTTCCGGTTTCCTGTAGGGTTCTCACGCATTTTGCCCGTCTACCGTTCGCCGTTTACCCTCCTACTTTCTTTTCCACTTCGACAGAACCGATGCAAAATGGAGGTCTACAGAAAATGACTAGAGGGCAAACGGTTGAAAAACAATAAAAGTTTGCGACAACAGAACGGCTTATAGCTTTTGAAGGGTGCAGCCGACTGTCGAGATGGAAAATAAAAATTTGCTCGCGATGCATTAACGTTATTACATTAAACGAGACCTGGTCTAAACGCGTGGAGGCTTCAAAGAGATAAAAGGGTTCGCGTTCGAATCAGCAACGAAGCTAGTTCAACGAGATTATAACCGTAGCAACGTGTTCACTTGAAACGTCCTCTTCTTTCTCTTTGCACGTACCTCGAGTAACAAATATTTCAATGAAATTCGTGAAAATCATCTCGCGGTTTGGGGAAAGACTTCTATCTTTATTAGACGAGAATCAATAAATCTCCTTTCTAACGTTTGCTTATTTATTCACTAGGAACTTTTCAAACGACTTAATACTTTATTCTCCTCTTGGAAATGGAGAGCGGTACCAAAGGGTTTCACTTTACTCTTTCCTTCTAGATTCTCACACAGAATCACCCGGTTTGACACTGAATGCAACAGTTTGTAGGTGTTTCCACGATTCCACGTGGTTCGCCGTCCACGAACGGCCGGTGATACAACACTGGCCACCGAGCCGTAAACGCGAGTGAGTACGCGATTCGCCTAATTGACGAGCACCATTGATCGCGCTACGGTCATTGTCAAGATCATCGCTAGCGCAGTTTTCTAGTAGAGAGTGGGCGAGTAACGCGATCGTCAAGT